GGCAGTAACATTTGCAACAACCTTCAGTCAGATGATTTATCCCTGTCTCCCTCCAGTGGCCCCCAGCATCGCAGATACCAGTCTTCATCCATTCCAAGCCACTCCATATGATGTGAAGAAATGTTTGGAGGCACTGGATACTACAAAAGCTTTGGGCCCTGATAACATTCTGGTAAAAGTACTGAAGACTTATGCTCCAGAACTTGCTGCACCCCAAGCCAAACTGTTCCAGTACAGTTACAACACTGGCATCTACCCAACAATGTAAAAATTGTCCAGGTATGTCCCATGCAGAAAAAAAGCAGGGGGAAGCCAAACTGGCCAATTACTGCCCCATCAGTCTACTCTCATTCATCAGTAAAGTGATGGAAGGTGTCATCAACAGTGCAATCGAGTGGCACCTGCTCAGCGACGCCCAGTTTGGGTTCCTGCCAGGGCCACTCAACTCCTGACCTCATTATGGCCTTGATGCAAATGCGGACAGAAGCGCTGAATTCCTGAGGGGAGAGTGACAGCCCTTGACGTCAAAGCTGCATTCGGCCAAGTACAGCATCAAGGAGCCCAAGAGAAATTGGAATCAATGGACACTGGGGGGAAGCTTTCTACTGTTGGAGTCATGCCAGCACGTAGGAAGGTGATCATAATTGTTGGAGGTCAGTCATCTCAGTTCCAGGACATCGAGCAGGCGTTCCTCAAGTGTTCCTGGCCCAACCATCTTCAGCTGTCTCATCAATGATCATCACTCCATCATAAGGTCAAAAGTGGGGATGTTTGCTGAACAATGAACAAAGAACAGTATAGAAACAAAAACAGAAATTGCTGGAAAACCTTAGCAGGTCTGGCAGTATCAATGGAGAGAAATCCGAGTTAATGTTAACGCTGCTAGCTATCATCAGTTCTGAGGGAGGGTCACGACTCAAGATGTTAACTCTGATTTCGCACCACAGACCTGAGTTTTTCCAGTAGTTTCTGTTTTTTGTTTCTGATTTTACAGCATCCACAGTTCTTTTTATTAAAGAGCAGTATAGCACAGGACCAAGCTCTATGTACCACCAAGACTACACCAGCACATGGTCCTTCCAAAACTAAAAACCTTTACCTCTAACATGGTCTGTAGCCTTCTATTCCCTGCTTATTTGAATATCTGTCAAGAGACTGCTTAAATATTGCTATTGTATCCACCTTCACCATCTCCGCTGATGGTGCATTCCAGGCACTTACCACTCTGTGTGGAAAAAAAAACTTGTCATCTTCTTTAAGGTACCTCCTTTTACCTTAAACCTATGCTCCCTAGTAATTGCCATTTCTTCCCTGGGGGGGATATAAACTCTGGCAATTTGTTCTATCTTTGCCTCTCATAATTTTGTAAACATCTATTGGAGTCACCCCTTATCCTACAGCATTCAAGTGGAAACAAGCTGCGTTGGTCCAATCTCTCCTCAAAGTTAATATCCTCCAAACATGGACACTCTCCAAAAGCCTCCGCATCCTCATGGCAGTGTGGTGATAAGGTAAGAATGGTACAGTGTTCAAAATGTGACCTAACTGAAGTTTTATACAGCAATTTGTCCACATTTCTTTTCTTCTTTCGCTCGCATGCTGTTCAGAGACCTGCAGTACAATTAAAGTAATTGCTCCCTTCCTATTCCTCCGGCTTTAATCATTTGGCCTCGCTGGACGGGCAGTCAAAGTTGTCCTCCCTCAGTATACCAAGATAGGTGATAGTGGACAATGAGGAAGATTATCTCAGACACAACAGAACCTTGATTAGATGGGCCAATGAGCCAAGGAGTGAAAGAAGGATTTTAATTTAGATAAATGTTGAGTGTTGTTTTTGTCCAGGCAAACCAGGGCAGGACTTATATAGTTAATGGTAAGGTGCTATGGAGTGTTGCCGAACAAAGCGATCTAGAAGTGCAGTTGCATAGTTTCTTGATGGTGAAGTTGCAGGTAGACAGGATGGTGAAGAAGGCATTTGGCATGTTTGCCTTTATTGGTCAGAACATTGAGTACAGGAGTTGGGATGTCATGTGACAGTACAGGACATTGTTAAGGCCACTTTTAGAAAACTGCAGACAATTTTGGTCGCCCTTCTGTACAAAGGATGTTGTCAAACTTGAGAGGGTGCAATAAAGATTGACGATGATGTTACCAGAACTAGGAGAGTTTGAGCTATAGGAAGAGGTTGAATAGGCTGGGCATTTTTCCCTGGAGCGTTGAATGCTGAGGAGTGAACTGAAAGAGATTTAGAAAATCATGAGGGGCATGGAAAGGGTATATAGCCAAGGGCTTTTTCCTCAGGCTGGGGAGTCCAAAACTAGAGGGCATAGGTTTAAGGTGAGAGGGGAAAGATTTAAAAAGAATTGAGAGGGTAACTTTTCCATGCAGACGATGGTACGTGTATGGAACGAGCTGCCAGAAGAAGTGGTGGAGGTGGGTACAACTACAACATTTAAAAGGCATCTGGATGGGAATATGAATAGGAAGGATTAAGATGGATACAGATCAATTGCTAGCAAATGGGACTAGGTCAGATTGAGATGACTAGTTGGCATGGATGAGTTGGACCAAAGGATCTGTTGCTGTGCTGTCTGACTCTATGATGCAATAAAACACAGCCATGGCAAACTCCAATACTTTCGGCCTTGTCAGAACTATACATGTTTCAATTAGACCCCTGTCATTCTTCTGTTTTTGTTATGTATTCCCTGGAGTTTAGAAGTTGCTGGAAAATCTCAGCATCTGTGAAGAGAAATCAGAGTTAATGTTTTGGGTCTGGTATCTGAGGGAGGGTCACTGGACCTGAAACATTGATTTCTCTTCACAGAGTTAATGTTTCAATGTTTCAGGTCCAGTGACCCTCCCTCAGAACAGTTATCAGACCCAAAACATTAACTCTGATTTCTCTTCACAGATGTTGCCAGACCTGCTGAGCTTTTACAGCAACTTCTGTTTATGTTTCTGATTTACAGCATCCACAGTTCTTTCAGTTTTTATCCAGGGAATACATGCCTGATCGACTGATATTCTTTGCATATGATAAACTTGACATAACAGGAACTAACATAGCAAATGTTCACTGCACTCCTGCTATCACACAAATGTATTATTTTTGTGAATGCAATTCGCCTTCCACACTGCTTGTTGCACATGAATGCTGGTTTTTGGTGATACGTTTACAAGGAAACCATAGTCCCTTTTGAAAATCAACAATTTCCAACCTATCTATCATTGTCTGATAATGCATTGCTATTCTGTTTTTCCTTTGACGGTGGATGATCTCAATGTATCATCAACCATGCAATATATGCACTCACTCAACTTGTCTAACTCGTCTTGAAACCTCTTCACTTCACCATCTCCTCAACAATCACAATTGGTGACTAGGTTGGTACAGTGGTTAACACTGATATCTCAGTGCCAGGGACCTGGGTTCAAATCCAGCCTCAGGCAACTACCTATATGGAGTTTGCACATTCTCCCTATGTCTGTGTGTTTCCTCTGGGTGTTCTGGTTTCCTCCCACAGTCCAGAGATATGCAGGTTAGGTAGATTGGCCATGCTTAATTGCTCATGGTGTCAGGCATGCCTGGGTTAGATGGGTTAGCCATGGGAAATGCAAGGTTATAAGGATGGGGTAAGGGGTGGGTATGTGTGGGATGCTCTTCAGAGGGTCATGGTAGGCTTGAATGGCCGAATAGCCTGAGTCTGCACTGTAGGGATTTTTAAAAAAATCAACTTAGTTCTGTTTTATCCCCTTCATGTGGTTCAGAAGTATCATATTTGATTCACACAATCAAACCTTTGGTATATATTGAGAGTAGGTGGTATCAAGAACTGAACCCTACTATTGTTGCCACCTACAACTCTGAAAAGTAGATCTATTTATTTTTGCTCACGGTTTCCTATCCACGAACCAATTCTGAATGCAGACTCGCGTGTTTTACCATTGCGTAATAATCTCTCTTGTGTGAAACTTTATCAAAAATGTCTGCAAAAAGAGATAACACGGTATTTGCTGGTCCTGACCTATCTACTATTTATGTTCTAAACAAAGCACACTCCAGTAGGCTTTGCATATGTCACATTCATAAATCCATTTTAATCTGTAAAATTCCATTGACATTTTCTAAGTTTCGTGTCATCACATCCGTCATAATAGTGTTGAACAATTCCCTTTGACTGGTGCTAGGCTAAAGGATCTGTTAATCTTTGCTTTATTCCTCTCTCATTTGTTGACAGTGGAATTACCTTTTCCACCCTACAGGCTGCTGAGATTGTTACAAAATATGCAGAATGTTAGATGATCTAAAAAAAAAGCAATCTACATGGCCAAATACTTAAAATGCATTGTAGATTGTGAGATTATGGAGATTTGAGTTTCTCCCCACTAATTTGTCCAGCACATGTATTTATTTTGCGTGTGCGTGTGTCCGCAGCCATGTGCACGCACGCTGGCTTCAGAGTTTTAATATGTCTGCACGTTTGTTATGTAGTCATGCCTGTGTCTGTCTGATTTTCTAGATGAGTGTTTGTGTGTTTTGAGTAAGCATGTGCACGTCAGTCTGTTTGTTTTGTGTTTGTGTGTCCACATATGTGTCTCTGCTTGGTGCTTGAGGATTTTGTATATGTGTGGGTGTGGGTGTATATATATGTGTGTATTTAGCTCTGTGTGCCTGAGTGTATTTCTGCAATTAAGTGTGTACATTTGCCAAAGCTAATGCTGGCTAAAGATCGGAAGGTGCATCAATACAAAGGAAGGAGGGTAAAACAATATGCATAAAAACCAAAAGAATGGTTACACAAAGCTGATCTGCGATGACCAAAGGCCATCTTTCATGCCATATTTAATACTATTGCAATGCCAATTATGATGTAATTTTGTTGGGAATTTGGGGAATAATTAAGAATTTTTTTACATAGAATCAAGTTTAAAAAATGTCCAGTTGTTACTGAATAACCAGAAATGAATTCATTTATCTTTCATCTATTAATTTGCAGTAATGTACAGAATTTTTACGCTGGATCACTACATGAGGCCAGTAAATGATAAAATCAGGGTTTCTATATACGTAAGTAAACTACCTCTTTGGAGAGGGGGGAGAAAATACTGTGGATGCTGGAAATAAGGAATAGAAACCAAAATTGCTAGAAAATCTCAGCAAGTCTGGCAGCATTTATGGAGAGAAAGCAGATTTTAATGTTTGGGGTCTAGTGACTCTCCTTCAGAACTGATTTTGCTCAGAAAATGTTGGTATATGTGCTGAAGATGGGATGGGGAGGGGGGAAAACGATAGGTGGAGATGGAGCCGAGAAAGAGAAAATCAATTGGATAGACAAAAAGGAATGGGTAAAGGTCAGTCTCGGATAATAAATAACTACTAATGGGGACCATCAGTGGTTGAACAAGTTTTGTGGTAGCAGACACAGGGTCTGGTACGTGCACAAATTGGTAGAAATACTCAAGAACTCCATGGGAAGCTAAGGAAGTGAGTGCCTTAGCCTTAAAATTGTGGAGCTGAATATTGAGTCCAGAAAGTTGCAGTGTTTCTAAGCAGGAAATGAGGTGCAGTTCTTCCAGCTTGCACTGAGCTTCGCTAGAGCATTGCAGCGAGCCTGAGGCAGAGACGTTGGCTAACCTTTTCCTTGCTACAGTCAGTTCCAAAGAAGGCTCATTGGATTTGAAATGTTAACTGCCTTCTCTGCAGAGATGCTGCCATACCTGCTAAGACTTTCCAGCAATTTCTATTTTTGTTTACAAATTCAGAGGAAAGATTTTCAATGTTCTAGGCGATGTCAGCACCTAGTCAGTTGTCTGCATATTGTGTGAGAGTCCATTCCTGGGGACCACAATAGGCAGCTTTGGTAGTTTTCAAAATAGAATGTTTTGAGCAGGTTCCATTCATTTGTATCTTGGGTATTTTCTGTATGCATTTTGTAGAGTCACAGAGATATGCAGCATGGAGACAGACCCTTCGGTCCAACTCGTCTATGCTGAACAGATATCCTAAATAAATCTAGTCCCATTTGCCAGCATTTGGCCCATATCCCTCTGAAACCCTTTTTATTCACATACATGCACCACTGTCTGTGTGGAAAAAGTTTCTACTTAGATCCCTTTTAAATCTTGCCCCTCTCACCTTAAACCTATATCCTCTACTTCTGGAATCCCTCACCCCTGGAACAAGACCCTGTCTATTTACCCAATCCATGCCTTTCATGATTTTATAAACGTCTATAATGTCACCCCTCAGCCTCTGGCACTCCAGCAAAAATAGCCCCAACCTATTCAGCCTCTCCCTGTAGTTCAAACCCTTGAACTCTGGCAACATCCTTGTAAATCTCTTCTGAACCCTTTCAAGTTTCACAACATCTTTCCTATATACTAGAAATGCACGCAGTATTCCAATAGTGGTCTAACGAATGTCCCGCACAGCTTCAACATGACCTCCCAACGCCTATACTCAGTGCACTGTCAAATAAAGGCAAACATATCACCGTCAGTATCCTATCTAACTGCGACTCCACTTTCAAGGAACTATGAACCTACACTCCAAAGTCTCTTTGTTCAGCAACACTCCCCTGGACCTTCCCATGAAGTGTATAAGTCCTGCCCTGATTTGCCTTTCCAAAATGGATCACTTCACATTTATCGAAATTAAACTCTATCTGCCACTCCTTAGCCCATTGGCCTATCTGATCAGGATCCAGTTGTCCACTGAGGTAACCTTCGCTATCCACTACACTTCCAAATTTGTTGTCATCTCCAAACTTACTAACCGTACCACCTATGTTTACATCCAAATCATTTATATAAATGATGAAAAGCAGTGGACCTAGCACTGATCCTAATGGCACACCGCTGGTCACAGGCCATCAGTCTGAAAAGCAACCCTCTACCAACACCCTCTGTTTTCTACCTTCAAGCCAGTTCTGTATCCAAATACCTAGGTATCCCTCTTTTTGGTGTGATCTAACCTTGCTAACCAGTCTACCATGAGGAACCTTGTCGAATGCCTTACTGAAATCCATATGCATCACGTCTACTGCTCTGCACTCCTCAATCCTTTAAATCCTTACTTTAAAAAATTTCAATCGAGTTAATGAGACACGATGTCCCACGCACGAAGCCATGTTGACTATCCTGAATCAGTCTGTGCCTTTACAAATACTTGTAAATCTTGTCTGTCAGGATTCCCTCCAACAACTTGCCCACCGCCGATGTCAGGCTCACCAGTTTATAGTTCCGTGGCTTTTCCTTACCACCTATCTTAAATAGTTGCACTATGTTAGCCAAACTCCAGTCTTCAGCGCCTCACTTGTGGCTATTGATAGAAATATCTCAGCAAGAGGCCCAGCAATCACTTCCTTAGCTTCCCATGGAGTTCATGGGTACACCTGATAAGGCCCTGGAAATTTATCTACTTTTTATGCATTTTAAGACGTCCAGCACTTCTTCCACTGTAATATGGACATTTTTCAAGCTGTTGCTATTTATTACCCCCATTCTCTAGCTTCTCCACAATAAGCACTGATCCAAGATACTCATTTAGTATCTCCCCCTATCTCCTGCAGTTCCACATGCAGGTGGCCTTGTTAATCTTTAAGGACCCCTATTATCTCTCTAGTCACCCTTTTTTCCTTAATGCATTGTAGAATCCCTTTGGATTCTCCTTGGCTTTGGCCAAAAGGGTTATGTCATGTCCCTTTTTGTCCTCCTGATTTCCCTCTTAAGTATATTCCTACTGCCTTTATATTCTTTTAGGGATTCACTTGATCTCTGCTGCTTATACCTGACATGTGCGTCCTTCTTATTCCTAACCAATACCTCAATTTTTGTAGTCATCCATCATTCCCTACACCTACCAGCCTTGCCCTTCACCTTAAAAGGACTATACTTTCCCTGGCCTCTCATATCATTTTTGAAAGTTCTTGCTTGATATCATTAAAATTTGTCCTTCTCCAATTTAGAATTTCAACTTTTAGATCCAGTCTTTTCTCTTCCATCACTATTTTGAAACTAATAGAATTATGGTCACTGGCCCCAAAGTGCTCCCTCACTGACACCTCAGTGACCTGTCCTGCCTTATTTCTCAACAATAGGTCAAGTTTTGCTCCTTCTCTAGTAGATACACCCACCTACTGAATCAGAAAATTTTCTTGTACACTCTTAACAAATTCCTCTGCATCCAAGCCCTTAACACTATGGCAGTCCCAGTCTATTGTTTGCAAAGTTAAAATTCCCTACCATAACCTCCCAGTATTCTTACAGATAACTGAGATCTCCTTACAAATTTTGTTTCTCAATTTCCCGCTAACTATTGGGCATGTCTATAGGACAATTCACCAAGGTGATCATCCCTTTCTTACTTCTCAGTTCGACCCAAATAACTTTCCTGGATGTATTCCCAGGAATATCCTAAGTACAGCTGTAATGTTATCCCTAATCAAAAACACCACTCCCCCTCCTCTTTTGCCACTCTTGCTATCATTCTTATAGCATCTAAAGCCCAGATCATTTAAGCTGCCAGTCCTGTCCATCCCTAAGCCATGGTTCTGTAATCCTTATGATATCCCAGTCCCATGTTCCCAACCATGCCCTGAGTTCATGTGCCTTACCTGTCAAGCCTCTTGCATTGAAATAAATTGCATTTATTAAGAGGCCTAACAATGCAATCAATCCTACCTCATTCTCTGCTTTGTTCCTGCCTGCCTGTCTATTTGACTTACTCCTTTTCCCAACTGTATCAGCCTCAGACTGATCTCTTTTCTCCCTATGTCCCTGGGTCCCACGCCCTCCTTACTTGTTTGAATGCTCCCCAGCAGCTCTAGCAGATCTCCCCGCCAGTATATTAGTTCCTTCCAATTCAGATGTAATCCATCTTTCTCATACAGGTCACTTCTATTCCAGAAGAGATTCAGTTGGTCCAAAAATGTGAATCCTTCGCTCCTGTACCAACTCCTCAGCAGCGCATTCAACTGCTCTATCCTCCTATTCCTACACTAACGAGCTCATGGCAGCGGGAGTAATTGAGATATTACTACCCTTGGACCAGCTTTTAAATTCCTGCCTAATTTCCTATATTCTCTCCTCAGAACCTTGTCCTTCTCTCCTCCTATGTTGTTAGTTCCAATAGTTACAACGACCTACTGCTGGTCCCTTTACCCTTTGAGAACAGTCTGCACCCTCTCTGAGATATCCTTGATCCTGGCACCAGGGAGGCAACACATCATTCTGATGTCTCACTGTTGGCTGCAGAAACGTCTGTTTGTGCCTCTGAATAGACGGTCCCCTATCACAATCGTTCACTTGGAACCTGACATACCCTTTGTTACAGTAGAGCCAGTCTCAGTACCAGAAATGTAGCTGTTGGTCCATCCTGTCCCCCAACATTTTTTCCAAAACAGCATACTTGTTTGAGATGGGGATAACCACAGGAGACTCCTGCACCTGCACCAATGTCTCCCTGACGCTAACCTTTCCTGGAGATCTCCCATCTGCCTGACTGCATCTGTTGGTTGATCTCCCTCCCTGCAACTACCATCTATCACACCCCCTGGCTCCTGTAAATTCCTCATTGCCTGTAACTGCCACCCCGACTGATCCATGCGATCCAATAGGATTCGCAACCAAACAAACTTCCTGCCGATATAATCATCAAGAACATTGAAATTCTGCCTAATCTCCCACATCCGACAAGAAAGGTATATTACTCTTTGCACCTTAACAATCTGCACACCCAGAAAATAGCACAGTTTTACTCTCAATGAAAACGTATAATCAGAAAAGGGCCTACTCTACTCACTGTAGGTTTACAAAAAAAAAAGGTTACGCTTTAAAAGTAGCCACTAAACTCTTCCCCTGCTGTGAGAAACCCCACGCAGATTTATTTTCTCCCCAAGGTCAGCTGTGAATTTTGCCACTTGTGTGTTTTTCTTGGAACTCCAATGTCCAGAGATACTTGCAACTAAACAGTAAAGACAGCAGCTCTGTAGATTCACTGCTGGGTTGGACAGCAGTGTAGGTCTCTTTCTCAGTTTGATCCATTTCCCATGTGGTCACTGCCTTTGTCTCACTTCCTCCTTTTTAAGGTGCCATTGTTTTGATCTTTTCTTCCCCGAAGTTCCAAAACAATGCAACAGCTTATAAAACAATAATTACTGTTCCTAGAAGTCGAGGAAATCAGCTCCAACACTGAAAATACCTCAGAAAAGGAGCAGATCCTACAGCCATGATTTTTTTCCTGTCTTCCATCTTGGATTACCCAGAATCCTTTTTTTCAGTCAATGTGGATTATGAATGTACAACTTGAGGCTGTTGTGATGTCTCTATTCCTAAATTCAAAATTAACAGCATGATGGCCTGTAAGACTGACAACCAAAGCATTCAACATTCACCTTCAACAACAGATTTTAAATCAGTGAGACTATTCAGAAGCTATGACAATGGGCATTGAGAGGAGTGTAGTTTTAACCTCACCACCAGTCAGAAATCTACGTAATTGGTGGGAGGCAGGTTACATAAGGCATGCTGAACTGGTATTGAGTCTAGCTTTGAACTGATCCCATCACTTTAACGACAGCGGTGGTGCATATTGCTGTTTCAGGATGCAAATAAAACATCCTTTTGTGCAAGCAGAAAGGAAATACATCAAGTAGAAAGAAAAATAATGCCATAAGTACACCGCGTAGCTCAAAAGATGTCCGATCATTTCCCACTTTGCGTTAAAAATCTTGTTTTTGAGGCATTGTAGTATTAACATATTTCATGTCACGTAAGTGTGAAGTGATGCATTTGGGCAGAACAAACAAGGAAAGGGGATACAAGATCAACATTTGGACCCTTAGAAGCACCAGTGATTGGAGGGACATTGGTGTGATTGTCCACAGCCTCCTTACTTCAGCAGGACAGATTCTTAATGTAGCTAAGAAGGCACTTGGGATGCTTGCCTTTATTAGCTGAGGCTTGGAGTTCAAGAGCAGCATAAAATGTTGGTTAGGCCACAACTAGCGTATTGTGAGTGTGGAGAGCAGAGATCCTAAAATCTAACTGTTCAGATTGGAATAGACTCAGGAGAAGACATAAAAGTTTTACATGTCACAAGACTAATACATTTTTTTTGTTTGAAACTTTTCAACTTGTACATATCCAATCAAGTGAAGACAAAAAATGAAATTATTGAAACCTTTTTTTATTATTTATTATTTGAAAGGGAAGTACTAATTAATAGTCAGGTGGAATATAGTTGCTATCGTGGAAAATAGGCAAGCTAATTTTTACTCCCCGATAACTGCCAGCCTTGTTCAAACTTCAAACATGCTAATTTGAATCTGGGTAGTCAAGGTCTTGCCTTAAAAAGAAAAAAATTTGGATAACACAGGAAATTCTTCAGTAATTTCCAAAGAAGGGTCCCAACCCAAAACATCAGCTTTCCTGTTCCTCTGATGCTGCCTAGCCTGCTGTCTTCCTCCAGCTCCACACTTTTTTTTTTTATCTCTGATTCCAGCATTTGCAGTTCTTGCTATCTCAAAAAATTTGGATACTGCTTGCCACCTAGTTTGTTGATTTGAACCAAGTTTAATATATGGACATTCTACCTGCAAGGAACAGGGCCGAACAACAGTAGTGGACCTACGTGCATGGGCCACTATATAATCCTGAATGATATTCCTACATTGATGTCAGCATAATTCTTTGCAATCTTATCTTATTTAGCAAATATTGTGCAATCATGGAACCACATTTAATGTTGTTTATTTTGTTGTGAGTTTTGAAAAAGGCCTGTATGGTCAGCACCATGCTTGTTGTTAACAGCAGAAGAATTTTGCTGACAAGCAACTTGCGTTTGTCAGCTAGGTTAACTGTGTCACACAGTAGCATTTGTTGGAAGTGGTGTACGCTAAACTAAAGGGGCTTGCAGACAGAAAGTACATACAGAGACATTGTGTCTCTTTCAAATGAACAAAATGGGTGACATCCATTTTCCGAATTGTAGAATATCTTGACCAACCAAATGTAACTTGCTTGGGTTTAAAATTGAACAGTCATGGCAGTTAACTGTCAGTCATAATTAACTGGTGCACTCCCATGGCAACAGTTCAACCAATCTGAGTCCATTTTCATGTACTCTGCTCTCATACAGAATCTGTGCTGTGTTTTCTTAACTTTAGTACTTCAAGTGCATTGTCCTGATGATTGCAAGATGCAGTGTTTCAAAAAAAATGTGCCTTTTTTCAGCAACGTTCACATTCTGCACAGTGAAACAATGATTTGGAATATCTTGAACCTGTTACCTTATTTAAAAAAAAGTATTGGCCAAAATTGTGCAAGGTTGTATCCCACTTCCTGACAGAATGTGTTACTTTACCATTGTCAGTTAGTTTTAGATAAGGAAAGCTGACCACTCGTTATTTGAGGCCTTTCCATTGAACAATAATGACCAAGACATATGGTTTCACACTGATTACGTTTTGGTGATTTTTTTTACCAGAACTCCCGCAACATGCAACTCATGGCTGCCTACTGGATGTCAGAGAAAATGAAATTGCTCCGGACAAGAGTCCCCGATATTGAAGAGTAAGTTATTAACATATTTCATTTCACATGAACGTGAGGTGCTGCACTTGGGCAAGACAGACAACGCAAGAGAAAACGTGATCAGCAATAGGACCCTTGGAAGCACTGGGGATTAGATTCACTCACTGGTGTGAATGCCCACTGCCTCCTTATTTTATCAGGACAGGTTGAGAAGGCCTATGGAGTACTTGCCTTTATTAGCCGAGATATAGAGTTTCAGTACAGGGAGGATATCCTGGAGCTGCGTAAAATGTTGTTTAGGCCACAACTAGAGTATTGCATGCAGTTCTAGATTAGAATCATAGAATCCCTATAGTGTGGAAGCAGGCCATTTGGTCCATCGAGTTCACACCAACTTTCAAAGAGCATCCCATTCAGATAAGTCCCCTACCCTTTCCCTGTAATCCTGCATTTCCCATGGCAAATCCATCTAGCCTGCACATCCATGGAAACTAGGTGGATTGGCCATGCTAAATTGTGCATAATGTGCGCATCTTTGGACTGATGGATGCGGGGAAATTGAACAAGTTTAAGGAGGCGTAGAGCAGTTTTTAATCAGTAATGGGTTAACGAGTTATGTGGAGGTACAGCAGGCCGTAACGTGGGAATGACGCTGAGTTCAGATCAGCCATGATTGTACTAAATTGTGGAGCTAGCTTGAGGGGCTAGTCTTTATAGAACACAGCACAGTACAGGCCCTTTGGCCCACTATGTTGTGCTGACCTTTTATCCTACTAAGATCAATCTACTCTGCATACCCTACATTTTACTATCCTCCATGTGCCTATCCAAGAGTCGCTTAAAAGTCTCTAAAGTATCTGACTCCACTACCACTGCCGGCAGCGCATTCCACTCTCTGTGTGAAGAACCTACCTCTGACATCTCCCCTACACCTTCCTCCAATCACCTTAAAATTATTCCCCCTCGTAGTAGTCATTTCCACCCTGGGAAAAAATCTCTGACTATCCAGTCTATCTATGCCTCTCATCATCTTGTACCCCTCTATCAAGTCACATCTCATCCTTCTTTGCTCCAATGAAAAAAGCCCTAGCTCCCTCAACCTTTCCTCATAAGACCTGCCCTCCAGTCCAGGCAGCATCCTGGTAAATCTCCTCTGCACCCTCTCTAAAGTTTCCACGTCTTTCCTACAATGATGTGATCACAACTGAACACAATATTCCAAGTGTGGTCTAACCAGAGTCTTATAGAATTGCAGCATAACCTCACGGCTCTTAAACTCAATTCCCCTGCCAATGAAAGCCAACACACCATATGCCTTCTTTACAGCCCCATCAACATGGGTAGCAACTTTGAGGGATCTATGGACGTGGACCCCAGGATCCCTCTGTTCTTCCACACTGCTGAAAATTGATATTCTTGTAAACGCTGAAGAACACATGTAGTAATGTCCTGACAATGATATGAATGTCTTCCAACAATTATGTCATCTTAAGTCGCTTATATATGAAAAGCTGTCAGTATACTCCAGTGCCATATTGCATGATGTATGATGATGTTAGGACATGACATTTTATTTCCGATGGTCAAAGCAAGCTTTTTCTTTAGACATTAGTCTAATCTCTGTGTTACTCTAAAGGTTTTGTACGGAATGGTAGTGAATTGATATCAATGTCAAGCAACAAACTCATGACAGCTTGGCAACACCTGTGTCCAGAAAGTCAGGCATGCCAGGATGAATTCAATTTTCATCACATCTGATGTGTGTAGACCCCCTTTGAGGAGTGACCTGAAAATTATGGCAGCAGCAGAAAAAGGAATAAATCAAAATGTTGATGTCAGAACAAACCATTAGCCAAGGTGCTGGAATACAGGGCGGTGCGGTGGCTCAGTGGTTATCACTGCTGCCTCACAGCGCCAGGGACCCAGGCTCAGTTCCACCCTCAGGCAACTGTCTGTGTGGAATTTGCACATTCTCCCCGTGTCTGCGTGGGTTTCCTCCAGGTGCTCTGGTTTCCTCCCACAGTCCAAAGATGTGCATGGTAGGTGGATTGGCCATGCTAAATTGCCCATAGTGTTCAGGGATGTGTAGATTAGATGGGTTTATAAGCGGGATGGGTCTGGGTGAGATGCTTTGAGGGTCGATGTGGACTTGTTGGGCCGAAGGGCCTGTTTCCACACCGTAGGGATTCTATGATTCTATGATCTTAGCAAAACTAAAAGATATAAAATAAAATGGAGCGGAGTCACTATTATATAAATAGATTTAACAGGGTGGGACTGTCTTGCTTGCAGTAAATATATTTGGGAGGACGTTTCATGCAGGTAATTAAAATCACGAATAGAATCAAAGAGTCAGATGACACTGAAACAGACACTTCAGTCCAACTCGTCCTTCCACCAGTTTCCCAAACTAAACTAGTCCCATTTGCCTATGCTTAGCCCATATCCCTCCAAACCATTCCTGTTCATGTACCTGTCCAAATGCCTTTTAAATGTTGTAACTGTACCTGCTTCTAATACTTCCTCTGGCTGTTCATTCCACATACGAACCACCCTCTGTCTGAAAAAGTGGCCCCTCAGATCCCTCTTAAATCTTTCTCCTCTCACTTTAAAAAAAACTCCCCTCTAAATTTGAATTACCCTCTCCCAGGAAAAAGACCATTGCTATTGACCTTATCTATGCCTGTCATGATTTTATAATGGTCATCCCTCAATCCCGTTCCACCACCAGTGGAAAAAATGCTTATCTCGCCTCTCCTTATATAACATAAATCTTCCAGTCACAGTAATATCATTGGAAATCTTTTCTGCACCCTGACCCGGAATACTGAGAGAAAGAAAAAAGGAAGACCAATTAATATTTGTGCAAGGGGCTAGAAGGCGTGGATTGAAGGTGATTGTCACATTCTGCATTGCAAACCAGTGGTCCAGCCAATGGAGCTAACCAATTCCATTAATGAGTGATTGAAATTCATTGAAAGTGCTTCAGTGTAGTTAGAGTCAGAGAGTCATTACAGCTGTACCTTTCAGTCCAACTCGTCCATGCCAACCAGATATCCTAAATAAATCTAGACCCATTTGCCAGCATTTGGCTCATATCCATCTAAACCCTTCCTATTCATATACCTGTTCTGATGTCTTTTAAATGTTGTAATTGTACCAGCTCCACCACCTTCTCTGGCAGCTCATTCCATAAACACATCACCCTCTGCATGGAAAAAGTTGCCCTTAGGTACCTTTTAGGTCTTTCCCCCTCACCTTAAACCCTCTAGTTTTGGACTCCCTCACCCCAGGGAAAAGACGTTGTCTATTCACCCTATCCATGCCCCTCATGATCTTATAAACCTCTATAAGATCACCCCTCAGCCTGTGGAACTCCAGCGAAAATAGCCCCAGCCTCTCCCTGTAGCTCAAACCCTCCAACCCTGGCAACATCCTTGTAAATCTCTTCTGAACCCTTTCAAGTTTCACAACATCCTTCCTACAACAAAGAGACCAGAATTGCACACAGTATTTCAAAAGTGGCCTAACCAATGTCCTGTGCTGCCACAACATGACCTCCCAACTCCTACATTCAATGCACTGACCAATAAAGACTAGCATACTAAACGCCGTCTTCACTATCCTGTTTACCTGCGACTCCACTTTCAAGGAACTATGAACCTACACTCCAATGTCTTGTTGTTCTGCTACACTCCCCAGAACCTTTATCAGTAAGTGTGTCAGTCCTGCTCTTATTTGCCTGCCTCATTTTATCTAAATGAAACTTCATCTGCCACTACTTGGCCCTTTGGCCCATTGATCAAGATTCAGTTGTACTCTGAGGTAACCTTCTTCCAGAAGTTCCAACAGAATAATATCTTAAAAGGATATTTTCTCTTGGATGAAATGTTCGACAGGTTTAGCTTTTACCCATTGGAATTTAGAAACATTTAGAGCCAATGCAACTGAATTATAGGAAATCCCGAGAAGTGTGCTCATGGCAGATGTGGGGAGGATGGAATAATCTTGAGCCAACTATCTATTTCTAAATGTAATAGATAGAACATTGAAAACAATGATCAGGCTTTTATTTTCCTCACAATATCAGGAGTCTTTGACTTTATTTTCTGAGAATGTGGTGGAATATATATAAGCCAAACGTATATCATTGCTTAGTAAACGAGGAGGTGAAAGCTTATCATGGGCAGGCTGGAAGGGTTACAATCAGGTCAGCCATGATTTTCATGCTAGAATACTGTAATTCTACAATTCAGTATTTTTTCCCCCAGTATAATATTTATTTGAATAGTGGGTGGCATCATTATCTCTTTTGTTAAGAGAGCTAACCCACCATGAGTTGGTCTTACATCTACTGGAGTTTAATGAAATACAATCTCATTGAAACATCTAACACAGGAAAGGGTTTTGCAGAGTGGACGCGAAGAGGTTCTTTCACTTGATTGTACAAACCAGAAGACAGAGCATAAAATATGGATTTTTAATCTCCAAATGCATTTACGACAGAGAAGCATTTCTCTTTGGATTCATGGTGAATCAAATAATATTATGGGAGCATGGGAAAGAGCAACTGAGTCTGCAAATAAAAATGGTGCAGTCTGTAGTGATATGTGACCTAATACTTTCTAAGCTTTATGTTCTTCTGATGCTGGTACCTTACATGTAATAGATTCCCTCCAAACATCCTTTACAAATATACATCAGAAAATGAGCCTTGATGCACATCTGTTTTTAATTTGAAACAGTCACATTGATAAAGTACTTGTTTCTCTTTTTCTCTCTGTCTTTTGTTTTCATGTTGACACAATAGACCCGGAATTTGGCGAATAGAGGCAGAGTTTTTGGATTCACCCATGTCCAAAGTTTCTGCGCAGTTTGAAGTGAAAGAATTCGGTGAGTGCTCCTTCATGATCAATGAGACAATCTAAATAATCATGAGAACTGTTATTTCAGCTTAATGTGTCTAGGGAATGCAAGTCCACTACAAAATCTAATTTTACCTAACTTAGGATGTGGTGTCTCATTCTTTTGAGGACAGATGTAGACACAATACCTCCAAATGAAATGGAATGATTTTGGGTATATTTTAGCAATTTAGAATGTCCAAAAGTAATTTAAAACCATGGAGTACTGCTAAAGTGCACTTGCTACTGCGTTTCAGGAATTGTAGCAGTCATATTTTTCAAACCTAATTCTCACAGAGCAAAAAAAAGTTATATCAAGAACATCTAATTTGTTTCTGATTGTACAAATAAATCAGGGATAAATGATCTGCTCTTCAAAATAAGGTTGTAAGGTCAGTTATGAATACAAAAAAGGGAACGAGGTCTTTGTCTTACCATCTAATTCCCAGGACCATCTAATCCCAAGAATAGGGCATGTGGCAGAGCAGTATTTCCTAGTACCACACTTTGAATCCATTTAGCTGTAACGTATCATGGTATTCAATGAAAGTAGACAGAATAGTTGGTTTATTCAAGTTGGAGAATATCTCAAGATTCACTTCTATAATTGGATATACATAATAAATAGTATAGGATGAAATTGCAATAGAAACCCTTTCCACATGCTTCATTTCGAATACCAGAGGCGCTGCAGAAGACAACACATTTGACATAATGAATGGTATTCCCCTTTGTATAATTGTATTGTATCTGTGAAAAGTTAATATTTAATGGATCTTGGAACCATCTCATTATTAGGAATGTTTGGGATTGATTGGGTCCTTGGCAGCATGGATTTGAATAAAAACTGAAAGACCTGCAGATGCTGTAAATCTTGAACAAGACGGAAGTTGCTGGAAAAGCTCAGCAGGTCTGGCAGCATCTGTGAAGAAAACATCAGAGTTAACGGTTTGGTTCCAGTGACCCTTCCTCAGAACTGTTCTGAGGAAGGGTCACCGGACCTGAAACGTTAACTCTGATGTTTTCTTCACAGATGCAGCCAGACCTGCTAAGCTTCCCCAGCAACTTCTGTTTTTGAGCATGGATTTGAAGTTGGCTAAAAGATAAGAACAGAAGGTATGTATTGGTGGGCATTTCTCAGATTGGAGACAACTTGAAAGCAGTGTTCTCCAGGGATGGATGTTTGGACTTTGATTTGGAGGTGGGTGTTGCGAGCAAACTCTAAATTTGCAAAGGATACTAAGCTGGGTAGAAGAGTGAATTGTAAGGATGCTGAGTGCCTTCAGAGGGATACTGACAAGTTGGCAAAATGGGCAGACACCTGGTAGTTGAATTTCAATGCAGAGAAATGTAGGGTAATGCATTTTAGTAGAATAAACACAGAAAATATAGGCTCAATGGTACAGATTTGAGAGGAGTGCAGGAGCAGAGGGACCTTGGGGTTCATGTACATAATTCTCTGAGGGTGGGCAGACAAGTTGAAATATTTGAACGAAGAACATGGCCTCGGTCCACCAAGATTGCGCCAGCACATGATGCTTGTCTAAACTAAAAAGCTGTTGCATTTATGCAGTCCATTTACCTTTATTCCCTGCCTATTCACATATATATGTCAGGATGCCTCTTTAATGCTGCTGTTGAGGCCACCTTAATCATGTATTCTGGCAGTGCATTCCATGTACCTGCCACCCTCTCTTTAAAAAAAAAATTGCCTCTCACAGATCTCCTTCAAATGCACCCTCTTTAACTTAAATCTATATCCCCCAGTAATTTCTATCCCAGGAAAGAGACTCTGACTATCCATTATACCAGGAATCCTTAACATTCAATTGAAAATCAAACAAGTTTGTCTATTCTCACCTCACAGCTAATACCCTCCAAACCAGGCAACATCTGAAGAAGGGTCTAGGCCTGAAACATCAGCCTTCCTGCTCCTCTGATGCTGCTTGGCCTGCTGTGTTCATCCAGCTCTACACCTTGTTGTCTATAACATCCTGGTAAACTGTTTCTGTACCCTCTCCAAAGCCTCAACATCCCTCTTGGTGTAGCAGTTTTCTGAATTGGCCCATCTAAAGTTCTATACAGCTGCAACATGCCAATTTATATACACTACGCTCCAATCAATGAAGGCAAGCATGCCATATGCCGTCTTGACCAACATATCCATTTGATTTGCTACTTTCAGAAACTGTTGACCTGTACACTTATATCCCTTTTTATGATGATGTTACTAAGGGTTCTGCCATTTACTTCCCTCTTGTATTAGGTCTCCCAAAATGCATAACCTTGCATGTGTCCCAATTAAACTCCCATCTGCCACTTCTCAAGTCTCTAGCATAACTATATCCTGTTGTATTCTCCGCAATAGTCCTCCCTATCTCTGGCTCCTGTATATTTGTGACGTCCAAAAACTTACTAATTAAGCGACTTATATTCTCCTTCAAAACATTTATATCTATATAAAAAAACAATACGGGTCCCAGCACTGATCCCTGCAGAGCAAGACCACCAGTCAGAAAACATCCTTCTACTGCTACTCTCTGTCTCCCATGACTAAGCCAGTTTTGTATCCATCTCATACTGTCATAGAGTTATACAGCCTGGAAACAAACCTCTTGGTCCAACTCATCCACTCCGTCCAGATATTCTAAACTGATTTAGTCCCATTTGCCAGCATTTGGGCCATATTCTATAAACCCTGGATGTAGCCATCCAGATGCCTTTTAAATGTCCCCCTGTCAGCTCATTCCATACACTTGCCAACCTCTGTGTGAAAAAGTTACCCCTTAGGTCCATTTTAAATCTGACCCCACTTTCCTTAAACGTATGGTATCTTGTTTTGGACTCCTGTACACTTGGGAAAAGAACTTGGCTATCCATCGTATCCGTGCTCCTCATGATTTTATAAAACTCTACAAAATCACCCCTCAGGCCTCTGGCGCTCCAGGGAAAATAGCCCCAGCCTATTCAGCCTCTCCCTATAGCTCAAACCCTCCAACCCTGGCAACATCCTTGTAAATCTCTTCTGAACCCTTTCACAACATCCCTCCTACAGCAGAGAAACCAGAATTGCACACAATATTTCAAAAGTGGCCTAACCAATGTCTTGTACAGCTGCAACATGACCTCCCAACTCCTATAGTCAGTGCACTGACCAATAAAGGCAAGCATGCCAAATGCCGCCGTCAGTATTCTGTGTACCTGTGATTCTACTTTCAAGGAACTATCTACCCCTAGGTCCTTTTGTTTGGCAACACTCCCCAGGTCGCTATCATTAACTGTAAAGTCCTGCCCTGATTTGCCTTACCAAAATGCAACACCTCACATCTATCAAAATTAAATTCCATCTGCTACTCCTTGGCCCATCTGATCAAGGTCCTGATGTACTCTGAGATACCATTCACTACTGTTCACTACACCACCAATTTTGGTGTCATCTGCAAACATCCCAATCATTTACATAGATGACAAAAAGCACCGATACTTGCGGCACACCACTGGTTACATGTCTCCTGTCCAAAAAAAACCTTCCACCACCACCCTCTGTCTCTTACTTTCAAGCCAATTTTGTAACCAATTGGCTAGCTGTCTCTGGATTCCATGTGATCTAACCTTGCTAACCACTCTATCTTGTGGACCCCTGTTTAACACCTTGCTTAAGCTCATATAGATAATGTTCTTTGATCTACCTCCATCAATTTTCTTTGTCACTTCTTCAAAAAAGCTCAAACAAGTTACTTGGATAAGATTTCCCATGCACAATGCCATGTTGACTCTCCCTAATCAGTCCTTGCCTTTCCAAATGTTTGTAAATCCTATTTCTCAGAAACTCCTCCAACAAATTGCCCACTGCTGACTTCACGCTCACTGGTCTGTAAATCAGAATAGATTCATAAAATCTATAGTTCTCTGGTTTTTCTTTCCCACCTTTCTTAAGTAGTGGCACCACGTTAGCCAACCGCCAGTCTGCTGACACCTCCCCTATGGCTATCCATGATTTATAAAAAAATCTCAGCATGGGGCCCAGTGATCTTTTCACTAGCTTCTGACGAAGGTCCGGGATTTACCTGATCAGGCCCCAGGGGTTTATCCACCTTTTACGTGTTTTAACATGTCCAGCGCCACCTCTTGTAAAATGGAAACATTTCAAGATATCACTATTTATTTCTCCAAGTTCTCTATCTTCCATATCCTTCTCGACAAAGACACTTCCTGGCACTATTTTTTTACACCAACAAAATCCTTGTTTGAATTCTTTGCTGCCAGCTTTGTATTCTTAAGGGCTCTGTCTCTTTTCAATTTCCTAAACCTGATGCATGCCTCCTAATTTATCTTATCATTCAAGATTCCCGAATCTTTCTACTTTTATCCTTTATTTTCTCAAGAACATGCTGGACCTGAAATCTACTGAACTGATCTTTTAAAAGATTCTTACATTTCATATGTGGATTTATCCTCAAACAGCCCAATGTACATTCACCAATTCCTGACTAATGATGTTGTATTTAGTCTTCCCTCAATTCAGTGCTTTCACCCGAGGTCTACTCTTGTTCTTACCATAAGTAACATGAAACTTACAGAATTATGGTTATTGTTGTTAAGAAAGCTTTCAGGAACCAAGGCATTTATAATTAGAGGCATAGAGTATGAAAGCAAGGAAGTGATGCTAAAACTAAATCATTAGCAATACCATATTTGGATATTGTGTTTGGTTCTGGGCACCTTTTTATTTCAGGAAGGATTTTAAAACCCTGGAGAGGATGCGTAGGAAAGTTACTGGAATAGTACTAAGAATAAGTGATTTTAGATACAAAGAAAGATGACAGAATTTGGGTGTATTCTCTTTGGAGTGGAGAAGATTAAGAGGTGACCTCATTGAGGAATTCAAAATTGTGAACAATTTTAACAAGGAAAAGAAGAAAATTCTGTTTCGTACATTAGTACCTAGGGAACAAAATTTCAAGATTATCACCAGAAGAGCTAGAAGTGAGTTGAGGAGAAACTTTTTTAACTCACGGAGTTGTTAAGATTCGGAATCCCTGCCTGGAATAGTGATGGAGGCGGATTACATATATGGTTTCAAAAGACAGCAGGATATCTGTTTGAAAGTGATGAACTTAGAGGGTTACAAAAATAGGGCTGGAGAATGGAACTAGTTGGGTAGCTGTTTCAGGAGCTGATACAGACATGGTGGGTCGAATGGCCTCCTGTGCTGTAAAACTCTATGACTATCTTTGTGGGTTATATTAAAATAATCAATAGGTCCACAAATCCCAGGGCAACATTACACAGTGCTCACTCAATATTCTAATTGACACCACAGATCTCTTCAGCAGCCAGATCCAAAGACAATTAAGCCAGAGTACTGATACAGGTGATATGGCTTATATGTCTATGAGACACAGGTGCATTTGGCATAAAAAGATAAATAAGTACGTGCCTTTGCGCGCGCGTACACACACACACACATACAAAGACTCTCTTGCACCCATATGAAAATCCATGCTCTCTTCTCATTCAGACAAGCGTATACTTTTGCAATGGGGCAACAACATCCATACAAATTGAACATCAGGAGCATTTGCACCTTCGTGCACATTTCTGCAAGCGTCCTCTTACTTACATCAGTCAACACCCATGGCCATACAGGTCTTGTGCTAAGATGCACTGATCATTGTGTTAGAACAGTGTTGGTTGGTCCCTTTCCCTTGTTGCGGTTTAATTGCTAGTAGTACTTTACAGCGTAAATTAGTTGCCATGGAATTGTTTCTCATGATATTGTCATCATAAAATACCTCTTGCTTTCACCTTCCAAATCATAATCAGCTTAGCACTAACATTGTCTCTATGCATGCAGATATATACACACACTTACACATATACGCTCACTAGTCATGCAATATATGAATAAAGAATTTAAAATCTTCCCACCTCCAGTGGATTACAGCTCTGAAACTACAGATTCTGCGAAGATGAAAGAAAGAGTCTTGCTCTGGAGTCTTTGAATGTGAGCAAATTAATTATGTGATTGGGACCTCTGTCAACTTCTCACCTGTGGGTCTGGAGGCGAAGTTAATTTGTAATTAGAATGTGCATTGCATTTAAAATATTTTGAACTGTCAGTTTTTGCAAGATGTTTTGCATGGGTGAAACATAACTATCTGCTGATGAAGTTCTCCCCAGGTTTGAAGTCAAGGTACAAGCAGATCAAATGTTCTACCTTGTGACCAAGGAGGAGTTCAAGTTCAAAATAGTGGCAATGTAAGTGAGTCCACAGGTAACACAACAGCCAATATATTTGCAGTATCTTAAAGGATGAAGTTCACTGTGGTCTCTTATGACATTTTGTGTAATATCCAGACTCATTTGACAGTTTGCACTTTATCTTTTTAAATATCTTTCATTTGCAAACTATAGATCCACTCTCATACATTGGTAAATACCTTTATGCAACAAGTGTCAAACTTCCTTGCTGAAAACTCAAGAGACCTGCCTTTGTATTTGACAAGTATGAAAAGGCAACAAAGCTTGCAGTGGATTCGTTAACTGTGAAGGATAAAACCATTGTCTTCCGTCCCTTTTTCAATCTGTGTTCCATACCTAATAACTTCATTCAGCTGCAGGAATAAAGCAGTATATTTGCAATGTTCCAATGCATTGAAGCTCCTCTTCAATACATTGTTTGCAAATAACTGTGTCATTTCTCTTCCTTGTGAAATGAACCTGCCATCACCCGAGATACGTTTGATTGTAATGTTCTACATGATTTTTATTCCCAATTTTAATTGCATCACTGATCTAGATGTACAAGGGTGGCAGATCTATGGAAAGACCAAAGCCTGAAGTTCCTGTTCTAACCAGTCACCAACTTAAGTGGAATTATATCTTGTTCCTTCAGTTTTGCTGTGTCCAAACCCTGGAAATCTCTAACCCAACAGCATTGTGGGTATGCAAAAATCTCAACTTCACCAAATGACGCAATTTTTGATATTGGTTTGACTAACATGCTTATTAATGAGATAAGCACTTCAGAAGTCAAAAACCTCAACTTCACCAAATGACCTAACTTTTGATGCTGGTTTGACTAAAATGCATATTTCAGTGAGATAAGCACTTCAGAAGACTAATATCTCAACTTCACCAAAATGACTTAATTTTTGATGATGTTTTGACCAGAATGCTTATTTCAGCGAGTTAAGCACTTCAGAAGACTAAACTCTGAACTTCACCATATGACACATCTTTTAATGTTGTTTTGACTAACGTGCTTATTTCAGTGAGATAAGCATATCAGAAGAACAAAATCTCAACTTCACCAAATGACTCAACTTTTGCTACTGGTTTGTCTAACATGCTTATTTCAGTGAGATAAGCACTTCAGAACCCAAAAATCTCAACTTCACCAAATGACTCAACTTTTGATGTTGTTTTGACTAACATGCTTATTTCAGCGAGTTGAGCACTTCAGAAGGCAAAAATCTCAACGTCACCAAATAACGCAATTTTTGATGTTGGTTTGCCTAACATGCTTATTTGAGTGAGATAAGCACTTCAGAAGTCAAAAACCTCAACTTCACCAAATGACCTAATTTTTGATGCTGGTTTGACTAAAATGCTTATTTCAATGAGATAAGTTCTTCAGAAGTTAAAAATCTCAACTTCACCAAATGACTTAATTTTGGGTGCTGTTTTCACTAAGCTGCTAACCTGAAATAAATTGGTTAATTTTTTTTCACTTGCCTGATTAGGCCATTTCTCTCATTGATTCTGCTACACTATTTGATCATGGTTGAAATGTTCCTCAACTCCATTCTCCTACTTCTCCCCATGACCCTTTATCCCATTAACTAATCAAGAACCTATCTATCTCTGACTTAAATACATTCAATGTTCTGACCTCACAGCTCTCTGAGAAATTCCTTCTCCTCTTGGTTCTAAATAATCGTCTTTTCACTGTGGGGCTGTGCTGTTGGGTTCTAATCTCTCCAACCAGTAGAAAGATCTTTTCCATGTCCACTCTATCTCTGTATCCTGTATATTTCAATCAGACCTCCCCTTATCCTTCTCAACTCCATCGAGTACAGACCCAGAGTCCTCAACTGCTCCTGATATGACAAGTCCTTCCTCCTGCAATTTATTCTTATAAACCTCTTCAATTGGACCCCCTTTCTAGGCCAGCACACATTTTCTTTTGATGTGGGGCCCAAGACTGCTCGTAATATTCTAAATGCAGTTTTACCAGAGCCTTCTACAGACTCAGCAGTACATCTCTGCTCTTGTATTATATACCTTTTGAATGCATGCCAACATTGAATTTTGCTTCGCCAACTGAACCTACATATTAACCTTAAAATCCTGAACTGGACTCCCAAGTCCCTTTTGGTCTTCAAATTTCCGAAACCTTTCTACTTTTTTAAAAAAAAAACTATACCTTTTAATATTCCTACTAACATGTGTAACCTTACATTTCCTACATTGTATTCCATCTGCCACTTTTGACCATTTGCCTATCATGTCCAAGTCTCTTGCATCCCGGTTTTATCATACAAGGTTTAGATTTCTTGTTAAACTTTGACTGAAGGAAAAAAAGAACAAATATGGCAGAAGCATCCAGAATTAACCTAAAAATGTTGGAATAATCAGATTAAATAATACATTTGAATGAGCAATTATGCACTTTTGGCTATAAATAGCTCAGATCAGGGTGTATTGTCATAAAATTTGTGGAGCTGTTTCTTCTCTGAAGCACTGCTTGGAGCTTGGAAAGTTCTGATGCAGTGAAGTAAGTTGAAGCAGCGTAAGTGCTGCTGTTAGCAGACTTCGAGGTGTTAGGTCAGGATGAATCATTCGCTGACAATGATAGTTCTGCCTCGCTGTGAGAGCTATGAAAAAAGGCCAGAAACAGCAACTGTTTGATGCTGGTGAGAAAGATTGGCACTTGATAAATTCAGTGGTAGCCCACTGAAGCTAGTTGTTTAATTAGTTTGGAACTATGCTGGCAATTATATACTAATAAGCAGTCTGAGAAATGTTGGGAATCAGTCTCATGAGACAAGATTGAACTACTAAAATATAATTAGTCATTGAAGCAGTCCCAGTCAGAAATAGCTCGATGTTGTTTCAAGGCCTTGTCTTCCAACATGAAGAATCCTTTGCTAATTGGATCAAGTTTTAGTGAGATTTACTGACTTACATGAGCCTCAATGGGATCCGTATTGACTGCAGAGCTATTCAAATGCAGCTCTGAGGGTGTTACACATTTGCTTGATATATTTTCCCATTTTTAGAGTTTAAGTTGTACAGACAGTGTATATGGTTTAGAATAATTACTTTAGAAGGTCTGTAAGTCTATTCACTCACTATTCCTTATATTTGTTTTGTTCAGCTTTGCATGTTTTATTTTAGAAAGCATTCTTTGTGTGAGCTCAGACCTCTTCTTTCCACATGCTTTGCTCTTCTGCGCATTCAAATCTTTACCAAATTGTTTTGAATTAAGGTACAGTACAGAGAAGATCCAGTTTTATCATGTATTTTCATTACAGTAATCATAACTTTGTTCTTTAGACAGATACATGAATGGGCAGGGAGCAGAGGGATACAGGTCCTTGGAAAATAGGCGACAGGTTTAGATAGAGGATCTGGATCGGCGCAGGCTTGGAGGGCCGAGGGGCCTGTTACTGTGCTGTAATTTTCTTTGTTCTCTTTTGTTCTTTATAACTAATTTAGCGGCTTATTTATCAACACAATACTGTACCACTATCGATGCAGTTGAAACCACAATTACATTGTAATCTTTCCATATCACAGAATGATGAGGGGATTGATTACAACTTGCATTGACTAGACATAGAGTATGTTGCCAATATTTGGTTCTAATGACTTCAGTAAAGTGAATTATCAGGCATGATGGCATGTCAAGCCACCGATGAAATTAATTTGGTGAAATTCTTTGCACTGCAGAGAATATGTCAATAGGTTGGATGCGGGAAGTTGGAAGGTGATATCAGTATTTTGTATTTTTAAAGTAGAAAATACTTCCCTGCTCTTACAGCCAAAGGGAAACTTTTTTTTTGTTTAAATCTTTGACATACTGTAATTTCTTGCAATGACATTAAATTATAACTCTTCTAACATCACCAAGTTCTCTACAAATTTGTCACTCTAACCTTATTAATTATTCAAAAGAATGTCATCTTCGCAAATTATCATCAGCAATTTCTGCACACAGTTAGCCCAGCATTTTGATTCTTGATTAATTTATTTGTGGATCTCTAATTTTATTCACGTTATCCTAACTATGGTATCTGACCCCAGGTTCTATAGGGTTCCATTCTGTTAATCCAACAACATAACCATAATTGTTGGATTTTTTTTTCAGTCTATAATTTCCCCAGTGGACCAAAAATGAAATATCATCATATCATGTTGTCACCAGTTTGTGTTTGGAAAGGACCGAGGGAATCTGGCAAATTTAACTCCTCATTTTAGCTTAAATGAATTGATATAACTGCATGTTTTTGTTAATAGCATTTCACACTGTGGGACAAAATTTCATGTTGCAATATTTGCAGGGGCTTCCTTCTCCATTCGCTTTACTATAAATCAAATTAATAATCTGTATTGTTTCCTCTGGTTGTATTTAAATGCAGGTTAATAAATGTAACTGGAATTTTTAAGCTGAGGAGAGTAAACACACTAAATTACAAGTTGTGCATATTATAACACTACCTCCTTCTAAGATGAAACTGTTGTTTTGAAAGGCATACATATGGAGAGGCAGTCGAGGGTAAGGCATTTGTGAGATTCGGGATCCTTCACGGAATTAACAAGACGTATGTTGGAGGTCTCGAACAAGAACTAACAGTAACTATGTCTTTATTGCTTTACTTTGTAGACGTAGCTAATTGACAAAAGTATGAATTATACTATGACTAAATGTGGATTAATCATTGCCACCTGTATCTTCCTTGTTTATTTCAACTGTCTGTGCTTTACAAATGGAGAACTGGGAGAAACAAGTTAAGTTTCATATTATGACAGTTTCATAAAGCTCCACTTAAGTTGGTCCACAACATCTCCCTGCATGTTTTAAGCTTTAAATGCTTTTAGAATGACATTTTAACTGTTGAAATTGAGTAAATTCAATAGAGTTTCACCTTAACTTTTCATCCACTCACACACTGATAAGGATTTATTTTCTCTGTCACATGTTTGTTAGAAAATGCAAATCTGTTTTGAATTTTGGACTTAAAGTGATAGAACTCTTGGATTATGCGGCAACATTAAGTCATGGTTTTGCCTCAATATCAGCAAATTTGGCACTTCGAGATTGTTATGCCCTTTAATAAATCATGTCTGATCGGATTGTGATCTCCTCTTCAGTCTCATAACTGCACGCCATTGTCCTTGACTGCCCTTTCTATCACAATTGAAATGAGGTGGAAAAGTGGAAACAAGAAAGAAAGAACAAGAGCAGGAGTCAGACATTTAAAACCACGAATTTGTCCGTGATTCGATTAATCCTTGAATTGTCTGTGGTTTACCTTCATTTAACCATGTCTGTTGCATGCCCTTATTTTAAAAAAAAGATAATGTATCAATCAATATTATTTTCAACTGTAGTTCACAAACTGATTAATAGTGTTTTTGAAGATTGGTTATCCACACCTTCACTAACCTTTTTCTGATGAAACATTATCTGCCATACTGTTGGGTTACGGCTATCCCTAATCCTAACCCAAATGCTCAGTCCAACCCTAACCCTTTCACTGCATAAAACTCTCACTCTAATGTTAGGCATATTCATTTTTTTCTTGCAAATTTCGACAACAACTACCATATCAACTCTTTTAATCACCTTAAAATTCACAATTAGATACACTCTTTTATACTCACAGAATAATGTGATGTTTGAGCAACCTGCTCATAATTTGCCAGTCTCTTTCGTTTTATATTTCTGGGCTGATGGGTACCTTTCCTTGACCAATGTATCCTTGATATGATATGCAGAATTGACTTAAATACGTCACATGATGTCTCAGCAGTGCATTTATATATCTGTAATGTTTTGCTTTAGTATACTATTGTCTTGTGGTTCAAAAGTCAAGCATTTTTTTAAGGCAATTGTCTCGCTTCTATTATTGATATATAAATATATTTTTTTCACCGTTTTCAGTTGGTGAAGGGAGAAGTCAATTCCTCTCTCAACACTCAAAGTCTATTGGAAAAATCCAACCTGATGTCCATTGATGAGCTTGTGGGTCTGCATCTCTATATGGCTGTGACTGCTGTAGAATTAGTCAGTAAGTGAGCTGAATTACTCAAATCCCATGTCAGTTTCTCAGTCCCCAGCCCTTTGAAATGTAATCAAGGAGATATTTGCTGCAGATTTCCTAAAATATATTGCAGATTGCACACCACAACTGCACATGGAAAACAAGATTTAAATGTCTTATTTCCCAGGATGTGGATGTTGCTGGCTAGGCTAGCATTTATTGCCAATCCCTAGTTGCTCAGAGGGCAGTTGAGAGTGAACCACATTGATGTGGGCCTGGGGTCATGTGTAGACCAGACCAGGTAAGGGTGGGAGGTTTCCTTCCCCAAAGGACATGAATGAGCCAGATGTGGTTTTCCCAACAATCAACCATGACTTCATCCAGATTTGCTTTTTAAAACTTCACTATCTGTGTGGTGGTATTTGAACCCCAGTCTCCACAACATTAGCTGAGCTTTTTGGATCGGTAGTGTCACATTTGTACCACTAAACCATTGCCTCATGATTGGTCAACAGAATTATTTGCATGTGTATGTCAGTTGTGTTCAGGTTGTGCTATGGCATCTTTTGATGTATGTATAAGTTCAAGGTTATCTCTAGACCAATGAATTTAGTTAGCACATTTGGCTCAGTATTATACTGAGATGACTCTGTTCAGAGAAAGTCTGAAAATGAGGCCAATTTAAATGGAGGTAAAATATTGTACCGCACAAATGTAAATAAAAAGAGATGATTTCGCTGCATATGTCCTAGACCAGTCTTCATCTTACAGAGTTAGTTCCTGGTTTCACAATCCAGGTTGTTTATCTAAATTCTTGAGGTATGAATTCAAATCTCACAAAAAGGGAAAGCAATGCTGGTCTCAGACGTATTAAGCACAAATTGCTAGTTTCTTTATAATGTGAGAAAAATCTACCCCATGTCTCTATTGACAAAGGAAACCTGCTGGTTCTATGCAACGAGTGACTCCACATGCATGATTATGTGACTCTGAATGATTGGATTCTGTTGTGATGCATTTTTGACAAGGAGTGCTTGTTTACACTGGAGTTTATGCAAATGAAGGGTGACGAGAGAAGTGTCTAAGATCCTGGTGTCTTAGCAATGTGAAACTGGAAAGGAATTTTTCTCTTGTGGGCCACTCTAGATCTACAGGCTACTGTCTCAAATTCAGGGCTAACCATTCCAGGATGGGTTAGGGTTAGGGTTAGGGTTTTGTCTTTTTGGAAGGTTCAGGTGTGGCTTTGGAACTCCTCTGTTCAGAAGACTGTGCAGGCAGAGACAGTAAGTAATAATATCATTATAATGATCAATTCCTGTTAGGCATGGTTTCTAGGAATTTGATGGGAATCGGGAACTCAAAAGAAAAAGGATCAGCCATGCTTGTATTGAATAATGGAGCAGCCTGTAGGGGCTGAAATGAGGTATTTCTACTCCTGTTATTTTGTACAATTGTGTAAGATTCTCAAAGGTGCCCTGGTGTGGACTCAGTTCAAGGAAAAAAGCGATGAAATATTAATGTGGGCGTTTGAATTGGTATTCATAATCTAAGGAAGAATAATATGCAAAATAAAAACATCCACCCATTGTCTTAATAGCTTGTTCTTGGGTGCATTGCTTTCTGCAGTGAAACTTTCAAGTGCAACTTTGTCTGTTAAGAAACTTTGGGATATGCTAGCATGCCGAACTTCAATGCAAGTTGTTTTTCTCTTCCTCTATGCTATTGTGTTTAAGTCACTGTGTTTTAAGGCTATTTGCCCTAATATCATTATGTTATATTTACTTTACAACCATAAGAATATTCCATGGTTATGTCTTTAGAGGATTCATTAAGGGAAAAATATCAATGTTACTGCAAAATATTTTACTTCTGCCCAAAGCAAGCTCTTGCCTCGAGTGAAAAGAATAATTCTTATGTTTACAAATAATTTTCTGTGATTGCATACAAAAAAGAGTATTGGTGTCACTGAAGCAGCCAACATTCATTAGTTATCTTCTTGTTAGCCCCCGAGAAGCTGCTTGTGAGTCCCTTTCCTATACATCTGCTCTTGCTTTGATTTCTTTGACGTAAAACCCGAGCTGTTAAGGAGACACTTCTTGGATTTTCATAGAAGATCATAGAATCCCTACAGTGTGGAAACAGGGTCTTCGGCCTAACAAGTCCACACCGATCCTCAGAGCATCCCACCCAGACCCATCCCCTTATAACCCAGCTAATCCATTCATCCCTGAACACTATGGGAAATTTAGTATGGCCAATCCACCTAACCTGCACATCTTTAGATTGTGGGAGGAAACCCACGCAGACACGGGGAGAATGTGCAAACTGCGCACAGACAGTTGCCCGAGGGTGGAATCGAACCCAGGACCCTGGCACTGTGAGGCAGCAATGTTAACCACTGACTCACCATGCCGCCTACAGTGCAGGATTCATGGTATAGTTCTAACAAATTATTAGATTCACTTCGCTCTGATTCACTTGCTGACCTTGTTTTTCTCAGCGGTAGAGTTCACAAGTTTTGTATGTGCTATTAAAGGAAGCTGTGCTGTAAGAAAAAAAAACTGGTAAATTCACCATATCTCCAATTGTGCACAGGTGGTGAAATGGAAGAGATAGAACTCAGCAGCATCAAATTTGTTTCTTCACCATATGTGATGGATTTGTCAAAAACAAGCCGCTTCTTCTCTCCAATGTCTTTTTTCACTGTCATCGTAAGTAAATATTTAAGTGGTTGATCTATAATTACATTCCACTGCAATCGAATCTTTCCTTCACCATGCCTTTGCAGAATGACCAGAACCGCACTTGCTGCAAAGACAAATACAGAAGATCATAATTTTCTTTTACACAAGTAGTCTCATTGAACAATTTCTTAACATAATCTCTGATTTGCAGATAGCCAAAGGATATTATGGCATTAGAGGCTGCTGTCATAAATAACCTCATTCATTTCAAATGTAGCGCTCTCTGTTGCTTTTAGAGTTTGCGAATGGAACACCTTCCTATATCATAATTGCCAATAAAGAAGGGAACAGAGGGTATAAATTTAAACCACTCAAGGAATCTGATTGAAATAAACCAGGCCGCTATTTTGAAATGGCTGATAAGAATTTAAAATGGATATTCTCATGAACAATTTTGGTTAATTTTGTCAACAGACAACTGTAACCTATCCAGATGGGACTCCAGCTGTCAATGTGCCAGTGAATATTGATGGAGGCCAATCTACAAACACCAATGAGGAGGGTGTGGCTGTCTTTCAAAGGGAGACTCGAGAAAATGTCAGTGTTCTTAGCATCAAGGTGAGCACAATCAATTTTGGGCATTAGTAACTAAATTAGTAACTAAATGTTTTAATCATGTTGCAATGTGGAAACCAAAGCAAAAACTATAAAAACTGTTCTCTTCTGTTCTACTATTTCTGGCTGGCTTACTGTCCTGTTCTACTTCTCTGCCTTTTAACCAATTTATTGCTTGTTATTTGTGGGTTTATAAAGCTCTAACAACCTTCAGTCTTACAATATTATGTCACTTCTGTCATACAAGTAAAATACTGAAGTTTTTGAATGAGCAGAGATGCTCATTACTTTTTGATCTTTTTTTTTCAATGTGATATACTCTTTTGTCAATTCTTCCCTCATATGTATTTTCCATTGTGAAATCAAACATATTATTGCCATTGCTTCACGTCACCTTGAATCATAATGAGACCTGATTGTATCATGATCCCGTTCTGTGAGGATCTTTTGATTACAACATTAAATTGTGCCTGATTCATTACACAGTAATAACTATTAATAAGTTTATGTCCTTAGCCGATACTACACTGTATTTTCCCCCATGAAACTGTCTCGCAAACATTCTAAAAATCATTATCTTCAGCACTCTTAACAATTTTATTATGCCAAACAAATGTGAGTGCCCCAAAATCATCATGTTGCCTCTGCTATAAGCTTCTTTGATGTATTGTTCAATGATCCATCTAACCTAACATGATCGTTAAAGGCCTTTCTTAGAGGTCCCATGAGTTCTTCTCACTCCTATTATCCCTAAGTTCCACCTAAACTGATTCTTTATTATGATCTCTTGAAGACAGATTCTTCTCACATGTGCATTTACTCACACATTAACTCCTCCCTTGTTGACGTGCTGCATGTCGTTACCAAAAGTTGTGCACCCTGGAATATTTATTCCCCCAATCGATGATTTTATAATCCTTCATAACATCTATAAAGTCAATTACAGCAAAATAATTTCAATCAAATTGTCACTAATTAATTTTACTGCATATGTGTTGTGCCTTCAAATAAAGGATAACTTAATTTATTTAATGTCTACTGTTATGGAGAAATGGAGGTTAAATAGAAGCAAAGCCCTGATATTGTCCTTTTATAAGTAAAAAGTAACAATTTATTTATTTAACCCTAACAGTGAACAAATTAGCAGAACTACTAACAAACCAAACAATTCTCCCCTAACTCTAAACTATTCCCTAACTGAACAAAATTCTACTGGTATGCTATTCCAATAAACACAAGTCCCACTTATATGAAAGAAAAAAAGTAAATTAAACCTTAGTCTGTCAAAGCCCACACAGGATGTGTCTTCCGGAATGCTCTGCCTTCTCCACTGTCTTTCCAGTCATAAATGCCTTTCTTCTGCTGATCCAGCTGTCAGGGATGTTTTCTCTGTGAGGGCTGTTACTGGAAGTGACATGGTGGTACCTTTTTTGGATAGGTGGTGCTTTCTTAGAGAACTTAGCAATTTCTTGTGTGAACCCGATGCTTATTTCTCAGATGGTGGTTCACTCTCCCAACAATTTCCAAATACCCTTTCCGTATATATCTTGGATGACATATCAATTTTCTTGGTCCAAGGTTATCAAAACCATCAGATTTAAATTCGATTGGCTTTCAATCACTAAGTGCTTGGTTTAAATTAATTGGCTGATTCTAACTATTTGCTGAAACATCAAAACAAGCCTAAAGTTTCCAATCACCCAACCAATTGATGCATGTTTCCATTTTTAGAACTGGCTGTACGTCTTCAGCCGCATGCAGACAGGTCTTGTTTGTAGAATTTTCAAGAAAAACACTTCACCTCTTAAAGGGACCATGATTTTTTTCACAAAAATATTCTAGCTTCCTGCCTTCCAATTCACAATTACTCCACACAACTTCATAACAGCAGCCCCTTCAGAAAAGCAATGAACCATCATTATGAAAAGATGGCTTCATTTGTTTATAAATCTTAACATCATTATCATAAGATACACAGGTCATTAATCTAAAAGTTACGCCTTTCATATTAATTCTGCATACAGTTAGTTTTGCTATAACATGACAGTTGTGTTCCTGTGCAACACTGCATTATAAAAAATCGTGCTATAGAAATAACAAGGCCTGTGGGAAAAGTGGGATTAGGGGCAGACCACCAAAAACCTCCCTCAAAATTACTCAAAAATCACTCAAAAGCCTAACACAAAGGATAGCGCAATTTGAATAAATGTTTAATTCATATCTAGTAACGAAATAAAAGTAAGTTTAACATTTTACCTAGAAAAAATGTCAAGATGACTTGATGGGGGAGGAGGTTGTACTGTACCTCTCAAAGTATTTCATGACACAGCCCGTGAAATGATCATGTGATGCCGGTGCAGAGACTCTTTCGGCGCTAATATTGTATGTATTCACGACAAAGCCTGTGAAGTGATCATGTGATGTCGACATGTACTGCTCCATGCACCGATGGAATTACGTTATAGCCCATATAAGTTTGTTTTAGAAATAGCATTCCCCTATTCGTCAATTGCATTTTAGCCAACTTGTGTTGACGGAACACGCATCATAGCAGAACCAACTGTATATTGGACCGTATCAGTTCTAATCTTATCTACACATTCTCTTATAAAACTGTGATAATGCACCTGCAATGACATTTTTACAAACTGCAACATGTACAATCTGTAACTTTAAAGCCTGTAACATAAGACTCCAATGAAATAGTCTTGTATTCTTGTCCTTAAATCTTTCCAAAAAGGTGAGAAGGTTGTGGTATGTATACACAATTGTCTTTGAAACATTTGTTTATAACATAAACATTAAAATGTTGTAAGGCCAGTAACAAACGCAATAACTCTTTTTCAATGGTGGAGCATTTTCTCTGGTGGATATTGAGTTTCTTTGAAAAATGACCAAATGTCCTTTCAATTCTGCCATCATCCTCCTGTGTCAACATAGCTCCTACCCCTAAATTGTTGGCATCGATAGTGACTTTAAAGGGTTTCAAGAAATTTAGCGTGGCTAAAACTGGTGCATTAGTCAACACAGCTTTTAAATTCTCAGATGCCTCCTGGCATTGTTCTGTCCAGTGAAATTTCATATTCTTCTTTAGCAAATCCATCAGCGATGCTGTCATTCTACTAAAGTTTGGTATAAACTTCCGTTAGAATCTGCTCAGTCCCAAAAAATTGAATCACCTCTTACTTTGAGGATGGTTTTGGAAATTCCTTGATGGCCTTCATCTTCACGTTCCTTAGGGCCAGCCTTCCATGTCTAATGTTATGTCCTAAGAATGTCACCTCTGCCTTTGCAAATTCAGTTTTTTTTGCTAAATTTATAACCAGTTTTGCCTCCCACAGTCTTACAAAGAGCTCTGCCAACTGCGCTGTGATCTTTCCATGAATGGCTAAAGATCACTAACTCATCTATATAGATGGCACAATTAGTCAATCCTGGTCATGCAGTGCCTGGCTTCTTTAGAACAATGAGTCTTGCTGCCTGATTGGAGAGTTACAGACCTGTAGCCAGCTGCAAAGAAATTGTATAAGTATGGACTCCCCATTTGAATTTAATGATTCCTGTTGTTGTGGGAGTTTGCTAGAAATATTATGTCCAAGCAAAATTAAAAATCACTCCAACAAATAAACTTTATCAAGACAATACATTTGTTGAGGCGAAATTGTGTTCAACAGAACAGCTGGATGTTTTAAATATAGTTGAAGAGACAGGTGTTGTAGAAAACATTGTTGATGTGCAGTTACTGGATCTCCAAATATGTTTGTTAATGTTCTACCAGTAGATTGGAGACAAGAGAACATTTTTAGGACAAATGGGATGTTAGCAAGATAGGTACAATATTGGCTGACAGAAAATGGAATGTTACATATAATGAATATTTATGAACTGAAGAAATATCAGTAGTAGTGTTTCCCAGGTGTTGGTGTTGCTTACTATGCTTTTTCTGATTTAGCTACTGGCTAACTGCATCTCCGAGGCAGAGTTGCAGGTGTATTCATTGCGGAGCATTCATAATGCTAAATATGCCTTTGGGTAGTACATTCAATAGTGTGGTCACACTGCAGGTAAAAAATGAGCAGGTTGAAAGGGCAAGAATGAAAACCACGCAGAGCCGAGGAAGGCAGATGTCTCCTGTGGGCCATTGCCTTTCTTGGTACAGCTTTGGGTAATATTGGGGGCAATGTTTATGCAATGGAAAGCAGTGGGACACAACTTCATGGCACTGTGGGTGGGTCTGCTGCACAAGAAGAACAGTATGGCCATAGTATTAGGGGATTCAATTGTCAGGAGAACAGACAGGTATTTATTATTGTCTGAATGGGACTCCATGATGGTAATTACCTCCCTGATGCCAGGCTCAGAATGTCACTGAATGGCTGTAATGCATTTTGAAGGTGGCTGGCAAACAGGCAGAAATTCTGGCATATATTTGTATCAGTGGCATAGGTAGGGAAGAGGAATGAGTTCCTGCATGCAAAATTTCGGGAGCTCAGAAATATATAATAAATGGATCCAAAGATAGTAATGTCTGGATCACTTCCAGTGCCACATGCTTGTGAGTATAGAAATAAAGGTTAGTCCAGATGAATGCCTGGTTGGAATGATAGCACAAGAGGGATGGTCTGGGATTTTGAGGCTGTTTTAGGTAAAACATGTACAAGGTGGATGGTGTGCAATTGGTAGGATCAGTTTGATGGAATTGAAAGGGATTGGTGTCCTTACGGGGAGGTTTTTGGAGAAGTTTTAAAATAATTTGGCATAGTGTGGAATCATGTTAGAAAGTTTAGTAGAGGGAAATGCATGGCCAAAGTTTGAAGAGACAGCAAGTGACTCAGGAAAGCATGGAAATTATAGGCTAGTTAAAGCATTAGAAATTTTACCAAAGTTGGATTTATGAAAACTTTAATGGAAGGAGTTTGATGAACAAGGCAAATGAGTTGAGGGCACAAATTAAAACATGGCGCCATGATGTTACAACTGTCACTGAAACCTGTTTTAGAGAAGGAAAGAATTGGAAGATCAATATTCTTGGGATATTGAATCTTCAGGCAAGATGAGGAAGAAGGGAAAAAAGGAAGGGGTGTTGCATTATTGATAAGTGAATCAATTACAATGGAAAGCATGGATAACATTTGACAATTCTTGTCCTCAAATGAAGACGTATGAGTAGAGTGTAAAACCGAAACACACAAATGCAATCACATGGCTAGGAGTATGTCAAATCCCGAACAGTTAGAGCAATAGAAGTGCAGTTATGGGTAGGAACATTTCTGTGAAGTGTAAAAGAACGATGATAGTGGGTGGGGATTTCAACTTCCTCAACATTAACTGCGTTAGACTTGTTGTGAAAGGTTTTGAGGGTGCAGAATTCTTAATGTCCCCAAGAGATCTTCTTTTTAAGCCAGTACATGGAAGGCATTACAAGTTACGGGGTGTTCCAGGATCTATTATAAGTTATGAAGCAGGGCAAGTACTTGAAATATTGGTGGGAGAGCTTTTTTGCAGGTGATGAACACAAGGCCAACATCTTCCAATGAAGATAAAGTGAATGACCAAAAAAAAAGCCAAGATACATTTGGGGTTCTGAGTGGTCTTGCCAGCTTGCCAGTAAATAAATCTCTAGGGCTGGATGAAGTGTATCCAAAGCTGGTGATTCCAGCAAGGAAAGATATAGCAGTGATACTGGCAATAATTTTATATTCCACTTTGCTCATAAGAGTGGTGCCAGATGACTAGAGTGAAGCCAAGGTGATACTGTTATTCAAAAATAGCAAGAGTTAAACTGCAGGCCAGTCAGTCTAACCTCAGTTATGAGGAAACTATTTGTAGCAATCAGTGAGGCAGAGACTAATCAATAATATTCAGCATGGTTTTGTTGAGAGGAGGTCATGTCTGACAAATTTAATTTCATATTTCAATGAGGTGTTTAGCTGTCCAGACAAGGGCAAAACAGTTGATGTGTTCCACTTGGACTTCCACAAGTTTCCTGAAGAAGGGTCTCGACCCGAAACGTCAGCTTTCCTGCTCCCCTGATGCTGCTTGGCCTGCTGTGTTCATCCAGCTCTACACTTTGTTATCTCAGATTCTCCAGCATCGGCAGTTCCTACTATCTCTCTAACTCCTCTAATCTGTCTTCGCGACAAGAGGCAATTTTACCTGGAACATTTTGTTGAATACCTTCATGTGCTACACAGTCTTCAGTGACAAAAGCTCGATTTATAATATTTCCACTAAGACTGAGCAAGCGACTTTTGCAAATTCACCATAATCTCTTTGCTCTATTTGTCTGTATTTTTATGATCAAAGCCTCAAATGCTTCCTTAACAATACTCGTGAACTGTCCTGCATGTTCAGTGACTTCTAGACTTGTATAGTCTTTACAGTCCTGCAACTTTCTTAGCATTTAGATGTTTATTTTCTTTCCAGCTATTCTGCTAAAATAAATTACCTTACTTTTCTTCCAGAAAACAGCACACAGTTGCAGAATGACAAAATTGTTATGGCACCATTTCTATTATCTAGTGCCAATCCCTTCCTCCTTCTCTGTATTTCTACACACCATTTCTGTTCAAATAACCATTCAAAGCCTTCTTGAATGCCTCAATTGACAGTGCACTTGCAGGCAGTACATTTTGATACCCTCACTACTCACAGTGTGGAAAAAAACAATTTTTTTTCCTCTCGTCACCCTTGCTTCATTTGCACATTACTTTTAAATCATAGCACTGTCCTTATCTTTTATTTTATAAGCAGTAGCAGCTTCTTCTGATCTCTATCCAATCCACTCCTGATGTCAAAAATGTATCTGAATTCTCCTCTCCATCTTCTCCTTTCAAGGAGAACAGCCCCAAATTCAACAATCCAAACAGTCAACTGAGCTTTCTCTTTCCTGGAATCATTCCTGTAAACCGCATCTTGATGAATACATTTACAATTTACTATCTACTGAGGAAGCAAAAGCTGCCTGTATGCAAACAAAGTCAGTAGATACCTCTTTACAGAACACCAATACAGACTTAAAAGTCAAATTGGTCTTGGATGAGGAAACAACTCATTGAATCACTTTTGTTACCAGTTACTATCATTAGCGCATGTAAATGTTACAAAAGAATTGGAATATTCATGGCTGCGTAAGGGCTATGGTGTATGATTTAACTTTGCTGGACCCTCTAAAGGGTACTTCAACCTCTAATGCACTGGATGTAATAATTAACAAATACACGAACAGAGCAATATCACTGAATGGTGTGTATCACATGATTGCAATATACATAATAAGGGATGTCTCAAACTATACTGCTGTCACCTACCAACAACAATGCCACTTACTTAGATAATGAGTTTAAAAATCCATTTTCACAGTAGCGACAAAACTTCTTTGGGCAGGTATATAAACTGGGATCTCAATTACATCATCATCCAGTAGCCCATTGTTTGTTATTTGTTTAGGTGACGGCTGGTGATGGAAAACCTGGGACGGAATTCCAAGAAACAATGGTGACAGCCCATGTCTATCAATCCCCCAGCAAGAGTTATCTTCATATAAAGGCACCTCACAAGGTGCAGAAGGCAGGTCAATACATGATTATAGAACTGACAGCTATCACAGAACTGGGCAGCGAAGATATTGATTACTTTTACTACACTGTAAGTAAAATTATATGAAATTGTGACTTGCTTGCTTTTTTAGGTAGGACAAGAATCCATTGGCAGTTTGAAGTTACTTCTCCACAAGTACAATGATGACTGAAATATAAACACTTACTAGGACATCAAAGACAACCACACTCTTTGTCTCTATAATTGTGCTGTGGGATCTTCTAAGTCCACTTAGATATGCAGAGAGGGTTGTAGTTTAATATGGCACTCAAATGCAAAATGACCAACAGTGCAATCCTCCTGCGTGCTGAGAAAATTGTCAGCCTGTATTATCATTCTAGCCTTTCAAAAAAGTCTGAAATTGTTGTACTATCTGCAGGTCTTGTGCAGGGATTATCCATGAAATCAGTTGAATAATTGGAATGGCGGGTTTGACTGTGTAAACATCCTCTGCAGAGGCCAGCACAATGTATAACCCTAATATGATGTCACAATTTATGCACTGATTATTTTATCAATAGCTGTTTTGTGCACTGCTTGTCTGCCTCTTCTTCCTGAGTGCCAGGGAATAGGGAACACTAAGGAAAAAAGAAGGAAATGAGGAGCCATTTCCATCCCCATGACCCCTCCCGCCCCCTGCCAATCCCAGCAAATGTGCCATTATTCCCTTACGTCTTTTTCATCCACAGCTCTTAAGCAAAGGCAGGGTGATTGTATCTGATAGGATTCACAAGGCGGATCCTACGAAGCTCCACTTTCAAGTGACACTTGACATGGTACCTACGTTTCGCTTTCTTGCCTACTATTATGTTTCCACTGGAGGAAGAAGGGAAATTGTGGCGAACTCAGTGTGGATTGATGTGGAGGATCAGTGCGACGGGCAGGTGAGCATAAGTCGCTGACTTCTCATGAGTTTTCTTCTGTCTGTAAGTGTTGTTGTATGTTGATCAAGTTATTTGTATCTTAACTCCTGTCTCCCAATTTGGACCTTTCACTGTCAGTCTTTGACACTGTTCTGGCTCACTGAGACGTATATCAGCTTCTGCTTGGCCCTTGGATATCAGTCTTAATTTGGCAGGAGATGCTGTTGGAATGATAATTGGACTTTAACCCAAGCCTCCCTGTTAAATCCCTGAGAATACAGATTCAGATTGCCTCGAAGCAGCTAGTGGAATTTAATTTCAATTAACATAATGTGAATCGAAAGCTAATTTCAGGAATAGAATAATCACAATATCCTAGATTATTCTATGAACGTACTTGGTTCACTAATGGTCTTCTTGAACGAAAATCTGCTGTCTTACCTGATTTGGGCTGACATTGTGCTCCAGAAGTACAGCATTGTGGTTGATTACACTTTCAAATGTCTTATCAAGCCACTCAGTTAAAGTAAAATTAGGGCTAGGCAAGCAATATTGTCCTTGATATCTACACCAATGTCTCATGAAAATATAAGAAATAATGAAAAACTTAACCATTTCAGACACAAAAAATTAAACATAACATTGAGCATATAGTTTTATTCTTAATCACTCCTCCCTCCTTCTGTACTCGTTTAAAATGAATTATGTAGTTCATGTTTCTTTTTCTAGTTCTGATGAAGAGTCACCAACTTGAAAGTTTAACTAATTTTTTTCTCACCACGGTTGCTAGAAATGATGCCAAGTGTAGTTTGTGTTAATTGTAGGCTTCAAACATTTGCATTACTTTGTTTTTTTTGTGACCATTATCATTTTGCTCAACAATAGCAAACAACAAATGATTTTCACTAATTGGTTTTCCTATTTTGAATGAAGGCATCTGCTGATAGAAAACGTATGATTTACCTTGACTTTGTAGCCAGTGTCAGAGGTTAGCAGAGTGAGTACATCAATTAAAAGACCAGAGGGAATAGCTGACAGTTTTGTGTGCAGTTCCTATCTTTGGGTAATAGAGACATTATGCTAAATATAATTAAAATTCCTTCTAGGTGTCTTTATGGTGATGAGCCTTTAGATGCCTTTTATAGTCCTCTTATTTCAACACTTGAGACTTGGAGCTCAAAAACAGTATCATCATTCCTCTCTGCTGTGATCTGTTATGTTGCTCTATATATTGATTTGCTCTCCCATCCATGCTTGCATGCAACAGGATCTGTATGGCAGGTAGTTTATTTTGCTCACTTAGTATCATTACATCCTTTTTTCCAAATCTGTGCTGTTGTTAAGAGCTTGATTCCATTCATATCTGCTTAAAAGGAATGTACTGCTTCCCAGCATGAATGAAGCATAATTTGGAACCCTTCTGAAGATTTGCAAACACGTTCTATGCATGACTGTTTAAAAAAAAATTAATAACATGGAGTGCATTTTCCATATGTTTGTTCTTCTGATTGGTCAGTTGATCTATTCTGATTAACTTTAACTTTTACAGATAGCAATAACAGAAAGCGATGCTTTCTATGGACCGGGTGATTCGTTTGACCTGCAATTCTCCACCAATGATGCAGCAAATGTGTCTTTTGTTGCTGTTGATTCATCAATGTACATCCTAAACAACAAGAATAAACTCACAGTCCGGAAGGTAGAACCTGTGCTTGTGATCTTTCATTTCTGTATGTTTTCCCTGTTATTTTGTAATGAAAATACAAAACAATTATATCAGCAAAGAAAGTGGATTTGTTGGTTAATTGAATGTTTGTTTTACTTTTCTACCATGAACGTGGATCTTGGAATCCATTCGTATTGTTTCCCAGGTGCTCTTGTCAAGGGCATCACTATTGAGATATACGAGTAGGCTTAAGTAGAACCCCAAGGCATTCTACATTTAAAAACAAGAGGATAATTAGGGAGAAGGTAGCTCCACTCAAGGATAAATGGAGGAATTTGTGCTTGGAGGCAGAGTATATGGCGAGATCTTAAAAGAGTACTTTGCATTGGTATTCACTCCCATGAGTGGTTGGGAAACTATTGGAAAGAACTCTTAGGGATAGGATTTACACGCATTTGGAAAAGCATGGCCTAATTAGGGACAGTCAACATGGCTTTGTGCAGGGCAGGCCATGTCTTATTAACTTGATTGAATTTCTTGAGAAGGTGACAAAGGTGATTGATGAGAGTGGAGCAGTGGATGGTTATCTATGTGGATACTATAAGGCTTTCAACAAGGTCCCTCATGGTAGGCTCATCCGGAAGATCACGATGCATGGAATCCATAGTGACTTGGTCGCATGGATTTAGAATTGTCTTGCCCATAGAAGGCAAAGGGTAGTTTGGAAGGGTGTTTTTCAGGTTGGAGGTCTGTAACTGGTGATGTTCCATACTGAGACCTCTGCTGTTTGTGACACTTCTAAATGACTGAGTTGAAAATGTAGATGGGTGGGTTAGGAAGATTGCAAACAATGCAAGGATTGATGAAGTTGCAGATAATGTAGAAGGTTGATTGAGGATACAGCAGGATATAGATCAGTTGCAGATATGGGCTGAAAAATGGCAGATGGCATTTAATCCGGATAAGTGAGGTGCTGCACTTTGTCAATAAGTTAAAGAAAAGTATGCAGTTATTGGCAGGACTCTGGACAGTTTTGATGTTCAGAGGCATCTTGGGTTCAAGTCCATAGCTCCCTGAAAGTGGCCACATAACTAAATTGGGTGATAAAGAAGGCATATGGCATGCTTGCCTTTATTGGTTGGCGAATTGAGTGCAACAGTCAGGGTGTCATGTTACAGCTTTATAAGACTTTGGTTAGCTCACTGTTAGAGTATTGCATTCAATTCTGGTCGCTACATTACAGGAAGGATGTGGAGGCTTTGAAGAGGGTGCAGAAGAGGTTTACCAGGATGCTGCCTGGATTAGACAGTATGAGCTGTAAGGAGAGGCTAGAAAAACTTAGGTTACTTTCTCTGGACTGGTGGAGCCTAAGGGGAGACTTGATAGAAGTCTATAAAATTATTTGATGCCTAGATAGGGTTGACTGTTAGAATCTTTTGCCCAGAGTTGAAATGTCTAAAATCAGGGGACATGTATTTAAGATGAGGGTGAAAGGTCAAAGGAGATCTTGGAAGTTTTTTACACCAGAGAGTGATAGGAGTCTGGAACACACTGCCAGGGGTGGTGGTGTGCAGATACACCCATAAGCACACGAATATGCAAGCACTGTAGGGATATGGACGAAGGGCAGGCAGAAGGAATTAGTTTAATTTGGCATCATGTTCGGCACAACATCATGGGCCAAAAGGTCTGTTCTGGATAGTTTTATGTTCTAAGTCAGTTACTGATGCATAACTAAACAGAACAAAATTTAAAAAAAGCTCCCCAATCCAGAACCTTCTGAAGTAAAACTGTTTCCTGCACCAAAACCTAGTTAGAGCCAGTTCACTCTTCATTCTTTTTTTTACCTCCCTCTTTTATAGTTGTCTATGGCTGAGCTGAGTGGCACCATTCCTCCCTCCATTAAGCCAATCAACATTCAACAAGCAGCCAATGCCTGAGCATAACAATGTCTTCATGCTGAACTGTCTGCAGTATTCACCGAATATTAATTTAACAACATTATCTATCCAGGGCAGCTCCTAACCATAAACATCAGTCTTTTGTTCTCTCCTTTATTTAAAAAAAAAGATGCTGTTCAAAAATTCAAAGTTTAATTTTCAACTCCAACTGACCGTTCCAAATTGAAAATGAGGCAAAAAAAGGGAAATAGTGATGATCACCGCATTGCCATTTTAATTGGAGCAGTACCAAGTTTTGAGCACAACAATCATGCATTTCTAAAGAAGTACTGCTTCAGGTTATTGTTTTATCAAAGCCACACTGGCATGTTCAAATTGACATAAAATTTTATACTACATTTCCAAAAGTGTTTACCTTGATGTCTTGAAAGCTACTATATCAGATTATCTAATGTTAATCATATAGCAGTTTATGAGACATTCTGCATATCTTTCTTCATCCCTAGGATTTAACAATGATACTCCAAACATAGCAGCTGAAAGGTTGCCCAGTTTAATGAAAAATGCTGGAACCATAATAAGTCTTGATTTGGAATAAATTATAGTAAGCAGAAATAAATTTTAGCAGTAATTGACCTTAAATATTTTGTACATCGCTTTCAGTTTTTTCTTTTTTTTTCTCTCTGTTTACAGGTATTTGACGCAATGAATGCTTATGATCTGGGATGTTTCTATGGAGGTGGAGTTAACAGTGTTGGTGTTTTCAGGGATGCCGGGCTGAGTTTTATCTCTGATGTGGACGTAGCCTCTATTAGACATGGTAAATCTAGCAACACATTAAAGATTACTTTAACATTGTTAAATGGAGAATCAGTAAATGACTGCTGTACGCATACCTAAGACTGATTTGACAGACTAACTAATGGGCAAAAATTGGCAGAAAGACAAAGTTCGATAGATAGTAAGATTAGTAAATACAATGATGCACAGTGGATAATGCAAGTAGATTGACAGTCAGACTGCTAAGGACAAATAAATTGGACAGTTAGATATCCAGTCATAGAGGCAGACAGTGGACGACTTTGAGCAAGATATAAGAAGATTCTTTTCTCCTCTTTGTTCTTTAATTGGATGTTAACAAAGTAAGATTTTCTTTTACATATCACTATTATTCCTTGAAGTTAACTTCTTGCTTGCCCTATTCAGCGAGCAGTCAATAGTCAAATACTTTATTGTAAGCCTGGACTCACAGGTAGGACAGACCAGGCAAGGATACCAGACTCCTTTCTCTATAAGGACATTGAAGAAGCAGATTTTTGAAGCAGTCTGTGATGTTTTTATAGTCTGCGTTAGTAGATCTAGACATTTCTATTTTCAGATTTGTTGATAGTTTGATTTTTGCCATGTATTTTGGGGAGCTTTGCAGCTGTGACTGCAAAACATTAGCCAGGATTTCTGGCATGGGTATCAGTGATGGATAGACAGTGAGTTATGCATAGACTGGCATAGAATGATTCAGAGAAATATAAGTAATCACAAAGGCAAAAAAAAGCTTATTGTAGCTCTTGAACAGGATATTCTATTAAACTTTAAGTACGAATTGAGTTCACCAGTGCTTTCCTGAATATAATTAGAACATATGAGCAGCAAACGTGAGTAGGCCACTCAGTCCTTTGAATTTGCTCCAGCATTCGCTGAGATAATGACTGACCTGATTTAACCTCAACCCTGAATTCCTGTATATCCCTGATAGTCTTTCATCCTGTTGTAATCAAGATTCTGTCCACCTCTGTCTTAAAACTATTTAAAGATTCTATATCCACCAGCTTTCCAAGAAAGGGAATTCCAAAGATTCACAAAGCCATGAGAGAAAAAGGTAAGTTTCCTCATTGCTGTCTTAAATGGGTGGCACCTTGTTTTTAAACTACGAGGCCTAGTTTCAGATCCTTTTAACATCCATGTGCTCAAGTCCTCTCAGATTGTTACATATTTCAATTTTGTAACCTCTGACCCTTCTAAAATCCATAGGGATACATGGCCTGTCTTGTCCAGCCTTTTCTCATAAGGCAATCCACTCATTCCAGGTATTTGCCTAGTAAACATTTTCTGAACTGCTTCCAGTGCATTAACGTCCTTCCTTAAATACAATGACCAGTAGTATACAGAAGTCCACATGCCATCTCACCAATGCATCATCACAGTGTCTGCGGTGGTGATGGTCCATTAAAAATAAAGAAATTAAGATTCCCTTTACCAGCATCATATCACCATTTACACATCTGTTCAGATCAATCTGATTCAGTATACAGGCTACAATCAGCTACTGACTTGTTAGTGCTACATGGGCTCACATCAATATTGTGCCAAATAGGTATGCAAGTTAAAAAGATTTGAGGGTGAAATTTCAGACTTCAGGTTTCAAGACAGTTAATTACAGTTAGTCATGATGAAACAGCTAAAATCAAGAATGTGAGAGAGGAAAGGGATGAGTAGATCACCAAAATCTAAGATCCATGGAGGTGGGAGTGTATGAGAAAGCGGTTAGATTTGAAAACAAATGATGGAATTTGAGATTGAGCTTTTTTTTTCTGGATAGCATTCGGACATACGAATTGGTGGGCAAGGACAGTTGTCCAGTTTGATTCAGTTCTAAAAATGAACATAAACTCAAAAAGGCATACATTATTTGCTTTTGAGCAACTTTGAATTGGAATTTGCTTTTGTTCAATTTTTCAGAATATTCCTGCAGAAACGAAATCAGAAGAATGAGGAGGGAATTAAATCTGCAGCGGCAATTTGCTGGAAAATGTGAGTTTGAAAGATTACGCTGAAAACTTCCATCATTGGTCTATATTAATCACACTTTCTTCAAACGTTGTCTAAATGTCAGCCTTTTACATCAGTGTTACCAAATGTTGTTAATGTATGAATCATACCAACCCACTTTGCATAGACATAGAACTGTACAGCACAAGAACTTCAACTCACGATGTTGTTAAAAGTTAATTAATATTATAAAAGTTACATGAATGCATTGGAGAAAGACAGGAAAAGATCTGATTAATGAGGCTGACCCCAAAACTGAAATGCTATGCATATTATATTGTGTCCCATTTTCTTTTGAAAAGAGAAGATTGAGGATGAAATAGGATGGTGTGCAGAAGTCAAAAATGGCAAAATAAGGTAGCCATGAAACTTGTGTTTAACGCAGAAACTATTGGCGAAAATCCTGAAGGAAATAATTAATCTTCATTTGGTCAGATGAGGTTTGATCAGCATTAGTCAATGTGGCTTTGTCAGATAGAGATTATGCTTGACAAATCTGGATTAGTTTTTCAAGGAGATGACCAAGTGTGTAGATGAGGGTACTACTGTTCATATAGTTTATATGGATTTTGGCAAAGCCTTTGATGCATAAGGGGTAAACATACACCGGATCCAGGGTAAACTGGATCCAAAATTAGCAAGAGACGGAATGTGGTGACAGAAGTCAATTTGTGTGACTTGAGGCCAATGTCAGGTCGTGTACCACAGGGATCAGTGGGGTGTTCCTTATTGCTTGCGAAACATACAAATGATGTAAATGAGTATCTTTGACAGGGAGAGGGTGGTGAGTAGGTTTGCAAATGACCCAGAGATTACCCATGTAGTTGACAGTGAGGAGGATGGGATTAGGTGTGGTCCACAAATCCGTGAAGATAACAGGACAGTTGAATAGGGTAGCTAAGGAGGCGAAAAGACACTTGCCTTTATCAGTTGAGGTGAAGATTATAGCAACAGAGAGGTTTTATTGGAGTTGCTCACAACCTAGGTTAAGACACAGCTGGAGCATTGTAATCAGTTCTGGCCTCTACATACAGGAGCAATATGATTGCACTGGAGTAGGTGCAAAAAAATTCACCAGATTGTTGTTTGGAGTGAAATGTATTTTGCAATGAAGAAAGGCTGGAAAAGCTTACATTATTTCCTTTGGAACAGAGTAGTTTGAAGGTGTATCTGAGAGAAATATATAAGGTTGTTAGAGGCATGGAGTGGGTGGATAGAAAGCAGCTGTTCTCCTTAGTTAAGGGTAAATAGCAGTGGGGCATAACTTCAGTTTAAAAGCAGGAAGGTTAGAGGGAATTTGAGGAAATGAAACAGGTCTTGGTGGGGTCCTGGGATGCACTTTGGAAGGGCAGTTAAAATAGGTAACCTTATAATCTTTGAACAGTATTTGGATGAGCTCTTGAAATGTCCTAACATTCAACGTTATGGGTCTCGTGTTAGAAACAGGGACGAGTTTAGATTTATTGTATTTGTCACAACTAGACAGGATAATGAAGAAGGTGTTTGGTATGCTCGTCTTTATTGATCAGTGCATTGAGTATAGGAGTTGGGAGGTCAGGCTGCGACAGTACATGACATTGACTGAGCCACTTTTGGAATACTGCATTCAGTTCTGGTCTCCCTGCTGTAGGAAAGATGTGAAACTTGAAAGGGTTCAGAAAAGATTTACAAGGATGTTGCCAGGGTTGGAGTGTTTTGAGCTGTAGCAAGAGGCTGAATAGACTGGGGCTATTTTTCCTGGAGCATCAGAGACTGAGGGCTGACCTTATTGAGGTTTATGAAATCATGAGGGTATGGATAAGATGAACAGCCTAAGTCTTTTCCCCAGGGTAGGTGAGAACAAAACTAGAGATACAGGTTTAAGATGAGAGGGGAAAGATTTAAAAGGGTCTTAAGGGGCAATTTTTTTAAACATAGAGGGTGGTGCATATATGGAATGAGCTGCCAGAGGAAGTGGTGAAGGCTAATATAATTATAGCATTTAAAAGGCATCTGGATGGGTACATGAATAGAAAAGGTTTAGAGGGATATGGGCCAAATGCTGGGAAATGGGACTGAATTAATTTAGGATAACTGGTTGGCATGGATGATTTGGACCAAAGGGACTGTTTCCACGCTATACAACTCTATGGCAAGTTGATGGATTGAAGGGTGTCTTCTTTATTGTATGATTCTATGATGTAAGAGACAAGAGTCATAAATGTAACTTAAACACTACTAAATTTATAAGAAATCTGCTTCTGCAGAGGATATTTGAACGTTGAACTCATTTTGGTAAAGTAAAGCTGTAATAACTAATGGAGAATCTTTCAGCAAATTTTGATTAGAAGCATGAAAGAGAAGGTGGTAGCAGAATGCTTGCTTTGGAAACAGAAAATTGGATTGGCAACAGGCCATTCCACCCTTCCTGGTAAAATCACCCAAGTGCAATATGTATATGGAAAGTTATGTATCCGACTGATGTCCTAGATGATCTCGTATGCAGGAAGTGCTTTGAAATGCAGAAACTTAAGCTGCGTGATTTGAAGATCCAGCGGCAGCTGTAGGCACTATAGTGCAACTGTGAGGCTGAGAAGTACATGAATTGCACATTTAGAGAAGTAGTCATCCTAAGCTCAAGAGTCTAGTGGAAAGAAAGCAGTGATGACCACCAGCAGTCCAAAATAATCAGGCAGGTAGTGAAGAACTTCTCTGGGATCCTGCTCACGAATCGATCTCCCATTTTGGGAGCTGATGGAAGTATAGACAAAGCCAAGCTTCTGGCAGCACAAGTGGCCTCATTAAAGAGGAAAGGAGCTGGAAAAGAGAAGAAGCAATAATGATAGGGGATTCTTTAGCTGGGGGGAGGCTGACATGATTATGCAACTCAACGGTGACTCCTGCACTGTGTTGTCTCCCTTGTGCAGTGGTCAAGGATGTCATTGAGCAGCTGCTGGGCATTCTGAAGTGGGAATATGATAAAGTAGAGGTAATGGGTCACATTAATACCAATCGTATAGCTGGGATGAGAAACTGCAATCAGAATTTAGGTAGCTCAGCAGCAGACTAAGGAACAGGACCTCAAATTTCTGGATTACTCCTGGTTCCACGTGCTAGAGAGTTCAGAAATAGGAGAATAGAACATATTAATTTTCAAAAGTTGATACAGGAGGAAGGATTTTGGATTTCTGGTGAAGGTGAGACCTGCACAAATGGGATTGTCCGAAGGGCAGGAAACGTCGCAACCTTCGAAATGTATTTGAATGAGCATTTGCAGTGTCGTAAGGCTACGAATCAAGTTCTTGAAAATGGGACAATACAGACTTAGAGTAATTTTTTATTCCATGCGGATCTGATGGACTGAAGGGCTGTTTCTGTGAAGTTTGATTCTAGAGTTTGAGTCTATCCCTGCTCCTATACTCTCATTCTCATTCTCTCACTATTAGGACCAAAGTGCCATTTGCCACCTTTTCCCCATACGCTGCATGCTTACTTTCAGGGACTGGTGAACAAGTACACCTGGTCATGTTCCCCCTTTCCCAATTTCTCGCCATTCAGGTAACAGTCTGTCTTTTTTTTAACCTGTGTGGAGAACCTTGCTTTTATCTACATTATATTTCATTCACTCAACTTGTTCAAACTACATTGAAGCTCCACTGCATCTTCCTCCACAGTTCATCTCCACACCTGGCTCGTCCATTTAGTTCCCTCATATTAATCATCATTATATATTGAAAACAGCTGGCATATAAGGTTGATCTTTGTTTCAGTTAGAAATGTTTCTTTTCAGATTTTGAGCATTGCTCTTCTCACTAACGGAGGGTGGGAAAGAAGGATTACGGTCTTTGCTAAATAAAAACCAAAAGAACTGCGGGTTCTGTAAGTCAGGAACAAAAACAAAGTTGCTGGAAAAACTCAGCAGGTCTGGCAGCATCTGTGGAGGAGAAAACAGAGTTAATGTTTCATATCCGGTGACCCTTCCTCAGACCTGCTGAGCTTTTCCAGCAACTTTGTTTTTGTTACGGTCTTTGCTGTCAGGCTTTTGGGAGGTAGAAGTCTGACAAACTGTGATATAAAAATCCAAACACTGTTTTTCAGCAGTTTTTCAACCCCAAGGTACCTGCCACCAGCTTGTCTCATAATAAAGTATCAAGACCAGCTTCTCCAAAAGTTACATCACATTATGTAACCAATAAATGAGAGGCACACAGTTCAACGTGTGACATTCGATTGCAAATAAAATGCTCATGACGCGTACTCTGAAGACAATTCTGTTAAAATCGCCTGTTCTTTCACTTTAAAATCTGTCCCTCCCACAAAAATATTCTTTACACTGTCAGTTTTTCTCGCACGCCTTAAATGTGTTGCAAACACCATCCTGCTTTTTTAACACCTGTTTTCTAGGAAATAACATTTTAGGCTATTTACATGTTTTTTTAACATAGCCTTCTACCTCCAGTGATAATTCTGCATGGAACTGCTAGCCCATGACAAAAAAATTTGGCATTTCTACTTAGAATGAAAGCAATATACCATACACAAGAGGCCCTTTGGCCCATCAAGTCTGTACTGCCAAAAATACACTAAATCTACATTAGTCCCACTTTCCAGCATAAGACAAATAGCTTTGACTATAATATTTCAAATGCTCATCCAACTACATTTTAATAGATGTGAGGTTAACTGCACAAATAACCTCCCAGTATTCCAGACCCTTACCACCTTCTGAGTGATTATCTTTTCCTCATCTGCTGTCCTGCCTTTCACACGAGAATTGTGCGCCCTTTTTATTTGCCTCTACAATTAAGAGGAAGAGCTACTTACCATCTACCCATCCATGACCCTCACAATCGTATACACTTATTCACTTCCTGTGTCCAACAAACACAGTATAAAATGTCAACATATTATAATTGTTACTATCTAGGTGCACATTTGGAATGAGATCAAAGATTAGTTCAGATCTCAAAGCATGTTACTATGAAGCTATGTGCATTCAGTTGCAAAGGAGATAGTTTTATCCTTCTATTCTGTAAATCTTCACTCTTGGATGCATATTTCTAACCCTTCTTGTCATAGTTTGCTTATCATTTTAATATTAATATTTTTCTCTTTGGAATTGACTGCAATGAATTTTACCACATCTCCTCAAAGCGTGAAACTTTGTCCCCACTATTCACTTTCCTGTGCCCTCTACTTCCCTAGTTATGCAGCTGACCAGAACATCAACCATAGGACACTACAGATGGAGAACATACTATTGTGACTTCGCTACTATTTGATCGAATGACTCAAGAACCTGAAACAATATTTCACATACTAGTATTTCCACCACAAATTCGTTTCTCTAATATTCACTGTCGCTGGGTCAAAATCCTAGAATTCCCTCACTAAAAGCATTGTGGGTCAACCCACAGCAGGAGGAATGCAGCGGATCAAGAAGGCAGCTCACCACCACCTTCTCAAGGGCAGCTAGGGATGGGCAAGAAATGCTGGCCCAGCCAGAGACACCCACATCGCACAAAAATGAATAGAAAAAAAATGATTTGCCATAGGCAAATTAGCACATAGCTGAGGTGACAATGTTGTAGATTTTAAGTTATTGACAGCTACAAGTTGAGATTAAGTTAGATTTCTTCAAAATAAATGACAAGACAATGGCGCAACAATTGTACACTTTCTTTTCTCAAATGATCACAACTCCATCTATTCGGCCAAGAGACTTGTTTTAATCCAAGCTGATGCTTCTAGCTTCTTACAAAAGTCGTGATTACCTTAACAAGTTTTGTATACAAGACTCATGGTCAATTGCTTCTTTACCATCAATATGAACAACTTTTATTGGTCTCCTTCCTTAAAATTTTAATTTCATTTACCTGATGATTAATAATGTGCTTTTTAGAAATCTGTTGGGATTCTCTTTTACAAACTCACCTTTTACAATTTTGTATGCAGATTTCCCCCAAGATTCGTTTTAAAATCTTGTTTTCCACTTATATTACTCTAACTGCCCAAATGCTGTTAGGATTGACCTTACACCCTGCTTTGATTAATTGTTTCCACGTTTACTTCCTGACTCCATTCTTTATAGGTGATTTTATTACTTAAGTATCCTCAGAAGACTTTTTTCATCTGTTTTATTTGATTAGTCTCATAAGGATGTTTATGACATAACTCTGTAGTAAAGTGGAACTTTGGCTCACTCTTGCGGCCCACTTCTGACTTAGCGATGCTGAACACTAACACTGGGCCACAGGACTCCATAATTGGATAGTAATGTATGTTGATTTTGGGACACTCTACCTGCACCAGTCTGCCTTACATCAATGTTAAATAATGACAGTTAATGCTTTGTGCCTGAAGTTGCTGATGTCTGGACAGTACTTTTTTCTTCTATCATGGTGCAGTGCCTGTACCTTTGCATTCTTCAATACAGCTTCATTGTCAATAATTCTCCATGGCAGAAATAACCAGACCATCTCTGGAAAAGAAGACAGAATGTTCTAACTGGATAGTATTATCAGATTTTCTTTCAGGATCAAGATTATCACTTTGTCTTGAGGACAAGGGTGTGTCGGTAGTTTTGGGTCATGTTGAGATCAAAAGGGAGGAGGCATTGGGGGTCTTGAAAAACATTAAGATAGACAAGTCCCCAAGGCCTGATGGGATATACCCCAGAATACTGAAAGAGGCAAGGTAGGAAATTGCTGGGGCCTTGAGGGAAATCTTTGTATCCTTACTGGCTACAGGGGAGGTCCCAGAGGATTGGCGAATAGCCAATATTGTTCCTTTGTTTAAGAGGGGTGGCAAGGATAATCCAGCTAATTATAGGCTGCTGAGCCTTACATCAGTAGTAGGGAAATTATTGGAGAGGATTCTTTGAGACAGGATTTATTCCCACCTGGAAATCAACAGGTGTATTAGTGAGAGGCAACATGGTTTTGTGAAGGGGAGGTCATGTCTCAGTAACTTGGTTGAGTTTTTTGAGGAAGTGATGAAGATGATCAATGAGGGTAGGGCAGTGGGTGTTGTCTACATGGACTTCAGTAAGGCCTTTGACAAGGTTCCTCATGGCAGGTTGATTCGGAAGGTAAAGTTGCACGGGGTCAAAGGTGAGCTTTTTTATCCAAGATGGATAAAAAACTGGCTCGGTCATAGAAGACAGAAGGTAACAGTGGAAGGGTGTGTTTCTGAATGGAGAGCTGTGACAAGTGGCATTCCTCAGGGATCAATGTGGGACTTTGCTGTTTGTAATATATATAAATGATTTGGAGGGGAATGTAACTGGTCTGATTAGTAAGTTTGCTGATGACAAAAAGGTCGGTGGAATTGCAAATAGCAATGAGGACCATCAAAGGATACAGGTGGATATAGATCAGTTGGTGATTTGGGCAGAGAGATGACAGATGGAGCTTAATCCAGAAAAATGTGAGGTAATGCATTTCAGAAGGTCTAATCCAGATGGCAAATATACAGTAAATGGCAGAACCCTTAAGAGTACTGATGGGCAGGTACACAGGTCACTGAAAGTGGCAATGTAGGTGGAAAAGGTAGTCAACAAGGCATATGGCATGCTTGCCTTCATCAGCCAGGGCACTGAATTTAAAAATTGGCAGGTAATGTTGCGGATTTATAGAATCTTAGTTAGGCCGCATTTGGAATATTGTGCTCAATTCTGGTTGCCACACTACCAGAAGGAGGTGGTGGCTTTAGAGAGGGTACAGAAAAGATTTACCAGGATGTTACCTGGTATGGAGGGCATTAGCTATGAGGAGACGTTGGAGAAATTTGGGTTGTTCTCACTAGAATGACGGAGGATGAGGGGGGACCTGATAGAAGTTTACAAGATCATGGAGGGCATGGACAGAGTGGACAGTCGAAGCTTTTTTCCAGGGTGGAAGAGTCAATTACCAGGGGCCATAGGTTTAACGTGCGAGGGGCAAGGTTTAAAGGTGACGTACGAGGCAAGTTTTTCGCACAGAGGGTGGTGGGTGCCTGGACCTCTCTGCTGGGGAAGGTACTGGAAGCAGATACGATAGTGACTTTGGAAGGGTGTCTTGACAAATACATGAATAGGATGGGAATAGAGGGATACGGTCCCCGGAAGGGTAGGGGGATTTAGTTGTGATGGGCAGCATGTCGGTGCAGTCTTGGAGGGGCGAAGCGCCTGTTCCTGTACTGTAATTTTCTTTGTTCTTTGACACAAGAGTTCAGCATCTTGTGATTCGGAACACACTACTAAGCCTCCTAACCTGCATGATAGAGTGACTTGATTCTGCATGGTGGTTCAGTGAATAGCACTGCTTCCTCACAGCGCCAGGGGCCCAGGTTTGATTCCACCCTTGAGCACCTGTCTGTGTGGAGTTTACACGTACTGCCCATGTCTTCGTAGGCTTTCGCCGGGTGCTCCAGTTTCGTCCTGCAGTCCAAAGATGTGGATTGATCATGCTAAATTTCCCGTAGTATTCAGGGATGTGTAGGTGTGTTAACCATAGGAAATACAGGGTTGCAGGGAAAAGAAAAGGGGGATGGGCCTGGGTGGGATGCTCTTCGGAGGGTCGGTGTGGACTTGTTGGGTTGTATGGCCTGTTTCCACAAGCTGGAGATTTTATGAACTCCTGTACGCATGTAATAATAAATGCTCAAAAGTGGAATTCCCTGACCCATTGAATTATATTGTTTTCCAATGCTTGTTTTATTTACAGTAAACGAATACCCAGATCGCAGATTGCGGAAATGCTGCATGGACGGAATTACTAAGATATTAATGCAGCTTAGCTGCGAGCGGCGAGCAAGTCGGGTCAAGGAGGTGGATTGTCGACAGGTTTTCAAGAGCTGTTGCATCTATGGAGTGGAACTGAGGAAGAATCAGACGCTGAAGGTGAATTCGATAGCGCGATGTAAGTGAGAGCCTTTTTTGTGTATTTTGGCCCATATTTTGTTTTAATGCGTGGAATCAAATTTCAGTCATATTCATATGGCAAGTCAAATCAATCATAAACAAATATATACATTTCAGTTACACTACTCACTGAAAATAGAGATGCAGATGAATAAGGTCATGATTTTTTAAAAAAAAACCTGAATAACCAGGCACATTTCTGGCAGGATATCTTAGAAAAGAAAAGTTATACAGAGCCCATGCACAGAAATTTGATTGCATCACATGATCTACTATTCTGATTTGTATTGTTGATTTTGGGGGTTCTGCAATCAGAAATACCTAATTGTCTCCAAATCACTGACTAGATTAAGACTGCAGATGCTGTAGCAGTATTCTGATACTTTTCTGACAAGCAGTACTTTAGCTGTGATGCAAAGGAAAGGGAATATGCAAGCGTTCACACATCCAGTCCGAAATGTCTTGCAGCCACACTCATTGACAGTGATGGTCTGTGGTCGTCACCGGTATCAATAATGCAGGGGAACTCCTGGTCTTCCCCAAAGAGGAGAGTGTAGCTTCCCCCTAACGCACCTATCCTTGTCAATATACCTCAGTAAGGGGAGGGGGGTGGTGGGTGGCTATATATGCTGTGCTAATTATGTGTCTAAACCTGCTTGGTTACTGAGCATGTGACAGCTCCTCATGACTTCAGATGCCCACTGTCTCCTTGTAAAATCTCCTTTTTGACGGTTAGTTTTTAGTCCTTCCAATGACAAAAAAAAGTCTCATTTTTTTCAATATGCCACATGTATACGTGGAGTAGGGGGCAGCTGGGAAGTCTTTGATGTAAATCATGATATCAGGATTCTTTATAACTCTTCTCTCTTTTTTTGTATACTGGCTATTTGTTTAAATTTGCAGAAGGCTAGTTACTTATGTGACCCAGAGGTAGCAAGAACTGCAGATGTGGGGTCTGTCAATACACTGGAGCTGGATGAACACAGCAGGTCAGGCAGCATCAGAGGAGCAGGAAAGTTGATGTTTTGGGTTTAAGCCCTTCATCAGGATGGCTATATATGTTGTGCTAATATTCCTCCAGCTCCACGCTGTATTTACTAACGTGACCCAGTTAAATGATGTCTTGTGCTACACAGGAAATAACAAATATGGAATGCTAAGTGAGCACAGGTTTAAAGCAGAGCCCAATTCGAAACACAGTGATACAAAACAAGTTCTCACATGGAAGGCTGGTCCAAAAGGTAATAGCCCATGGAATCTAACGTAAGTTAGCAAACTGGGTCCAACATTCACTTGAAAATAGGAGCCAAAGGATGATGGTGGAGGGTTGCTTTTGTGACTGGAAGCCTGTGAACAGCAGTATCACAGATATTGGTGGTGGCTCATTTGCTGTTTGTGATATATATTAATGAATTACTTGTGAATGTGGGAGGTATGATTAGTAAATTGAAGTTGTTGATAGTCAGGAGGATGGTCTCAGGCTACAATCTGATATTGATCAACTGATAGATTGGACAGAGCAATGGCAGATGGAATTTAACATTGATAAGTGTTAGTTGATGCATTTTGAGATGCCTAATAAGGAAAGGGTTTACATAGTAAATGATAGATTCCTAGGGATTACTGAGGAGCAAAGGGACCTTGGTAAACAAGTCAACAGATCCCTGAAGATGTTGGCACAGATGGACAGGGTGGTGAAGAAAGCATATATGCTTGCCTTCCATAGCTGTGCAGTGAATATAGAAGCATGGAAGTGTTGCTGCAACTTTATACAGTATTGTTTAGGTGACAGATTGAATAATGTTTGCTGTTCTGCTTGTCAAACTATCAGAAGGATGTGACTGCACTGGAGAGGATGCAGAAGTGATTCACCAGGGTGTTGCCTGGGATGGAAAGTCCCAGTTATGAGGAGAAACTAGATAAGATGAGTTGGTTTTCCCTGGAGCAGAGGTGGCTGAGAGAAGCGGGGAAGATTTAACTGAAGGGTAGAAAATTGAGAGGCATGGATGGTGTAGATCAGGGATCTTTGTGTCATGGCAAATGTGTCTAAAACAAGAGGAAATAAGTTTAAGGTGAAGAGAAAGTGGTCAGAGGGTGCTAGAAATATGGAACGTGCTGTGTGAGAGTATCTGGATGAGCACTTAAAGTGCCAGGGTGTAACAGACTACAGACCAAGTGCAGGAAACTGGAATTATTATAATTTGGTGTTTTATAGCCTGTATAGACATGTTAGGCCGAAGGGTCTGTTTTTATGCTGTATGACACTGTGACTATGAAACATGAAATCGAAGAAATGGAGAAGATGCTAAAATAAAGTTTACAAGCATGATACCAAGCTACATGATGATGTACATATAATGATTGGATATATTCACACTCGAACTAGAAGGCTGTGTAGTCGTCTAATGGAATTATTGTTGAAAAATACTGTTGAGAAATATTTGAGAATAAACACAGCAAAAATGCTTCTTTCGTCAGAAGGAACAAAAATGTACACTATCAATGTCACATGTTCAGCAACAAATCCCGCAGGAAAATCATGACAAAATACACTGTCCCAGAGAGTGGTGAGAATTTGGAGGTTACTGTAACATGGAATCATTAGGAACTCTCACTATATTTTGAGAGGATTAACTATTTAAGTATGTGATAATGAAGCAAATTGAAGGGGCTTGTTATCGTGCTTGGTAATTAAGGATGGGTGTATTTTCTAGAGTACCATAAACAGAGCGGTCTGGTGGTTGGACAGAATGCCATGTTACCTGGGTTTTTATTTACTGTTACCTTTGATATCCACAGCTCTGGAAAGGTCATCTCTATTTACCCTTACTGTATGTCTTCTGCCCTTCCATGCAATCACTGCTAACAACTTATTGGAGGCTGACACAACTGGGGAAAGAAAAATCATCAGGGCATTTCATAGTTCTAGTGCTCCAGTTAAAATGAGCCTTTCACCAAAACTTTGTAGCCAGCTGGGCGTTAACAGACTGCTGGTTTCCTCGCTTCATCATTGAGGAAAATATTGTTTTGTCTGTCAGTAACGTGTTCCCACCAAAAACTAACATTACCAGCCATAAATAGGGAGACAGTAATATCACAGTCAAAGATCAGAATTCAAGTAAAACTGTGCAGAATAAAGACAAAACAATTGGTTGGAGTTCGGGCAGAGGGAATACTTTGCAGAAATTCACCAAAGGTCTTTAGGTCGCCAAACCCATGTCCTCTTTCGTCTGGAAGAACAAGGGCAGTGGATAGATGGGAAGATCACCATCTGCAAGTTCCCCTCCAAGCTCTTCATCACCCTGACATGGAAGTATATAAACATTCCTTTATTCTTGCTGAGTCTAATCCTGGAACTTCCTCACCAATGGCACTATGGATCTACCTACAGCACATGTGCTGCAGCAGTTCAAAAAGGCAGACCACCATTAGGTTCTCAAGGGTAAGTAGGGATGGTCAGTAAATTCTGTCAATTCAGTGACGCCCATTCCCCAACAGTGAATAGATAAAAAGAAGTAACATTAGTGACCAAGGAATTCAAGCAGTGAGAATGCTGGAATCCAACATCAGTCTGCATCCTGCAATTCAAGGATCACTTGTGAGAATTATGCAATTATCTACACTGTCATAATGTTTAATATAACAGATTTGCAACTCTGCAATGTTCTGATGAAACAAATTTATTTTTCACAAGAAGGGTATGTTGAAAAATTGTTTTGTCTGGGATATTTATGGTTTATTTAAGGCTACTATCCATATTATGTGAGACTGGATGTGAAGGATCAGTGGAAAATGAACAACATGACTGACGTGATTCAGTTCTGCCGACACCATACTATATCAACATTTAAACAGATCTGATTATGAATAAATGAGACACATGACAGTTCAACTATGCATCTACTAGAGCATTCACATAAAGAGTAACAGCTTGTTTTGATAGAGTATATTTGGAACATAGAATATAGAACAGTACAGCACAGTACGGGCCCTTCGGCCCATAATGTTGTGCCGAACTTTTACTCCAATCCTAAGATCTATCTAATCTCCACCCCTACATTATACTGCCATCAATATGCCTATCTAATAGCTGCTTAAATGCCCCTAATGAGAGCGACTCCACTACCCTCTCCGGCAATGCATTCCACGCCCCTACCACTCTCTGAGCAAAGAACCTACCTCTGACGTCTTCCCTATATCGACCTCCACTCACTTTAAAGCTATGCCCCCTCATAATAGCTACCTCCACCCTAGGAAAAAGTCTCTGGCTGTCTACTCTATCTATACCTCTGATCATTTTGTAAACTTCTATCAAGTCACCTCTCATCCTTCGTCGTTCTAAAGAGAAAAGCCCTAGCTCTCTCAACCTTTCCTCGTAAGACCTTCCCTCCATTTCAGGCAACATCCTGGTAAATCTCCTCTGCACCTTTTCCAATGCTTCCATATCTTTCCTATAATGAGGCAACCAGAACTGGACACAATACTCCAGATGTGGCCAAACCAGGCTTTTGTATAGCTGGAGCATAACTTCACGGCTCTTGAACTCAATCCCTCTATTAATGAAAGCTAACACACCATACGCCTTCTTAACAACTCTATCCACCTGGGTGGTAGCTTTCAGGGAACTGTGAACTTGAACCCCAAGATTCCTCTGCTCCTCCATACTGCCAAGAATCTTTCCGTTAACCCTGTGTTCTGCTTTCAAGTTTGTCCTTCCAAAATGAATCACCTCACACTTTTCAGGGTTAAACTCCATCTGCCACTTCTCAGCCCAGCTCTGCATCCTATCAATGTCCCTTTGTAATCTAGAACAGCCCTCCGCACTGTCCACAACGTGACCCACCTTTGTATCATCCGCTTATTATCTTCCAAAGAGATTCAGCAAATCAATTTTCAAAATACTCTTCCCCATTCTGGAGAAGAGTCATACCAGACTCGAAAATTTAACTCTGTTTCTCCCTTCACAGATGCTGCTAGACCTGCTCAGTTTTTACAGCATGTATTTATTTCAGATTATTCAAAGCAATTTGGCCCTGAAATACACAAATAGATATTAATTCTGATTTTGAAAGCATTGTCAAACTACATCTATTTTGCACACTGTGCTAAAGGAGATATTTAGCGAGGGAATTCAAGATGTTAAGCTTGAAACAACTGAGAATAGAGCCTTCAAAAGTGGAGCATATAATTTAAAATGAACTTCGAATGGTCAGAATTTGGTAAGAATAGATTACTCCGAGTGTTTGTATGGAGAACATTGTATGGCTTCAGAAGACCAAGAGACTGGAAAGGGTGATAGCCTGAATACCAGGCTAATAATATTAAAGTCACCTTTTAATTTAACTGGGAACCTAACTAGGTTAGCGAACAGAGAAGATACTTCAACAGTCACTCAGAAATAAATGGACGTTGAAATGCTGTCTTGTAAATTTGTTTTTTTTTCCAGCTGCTGTGAATGAAGAGGAAGAATTTTTCGATGAAACTTCCATTCACGTACGTAGTGTATTTCCACACAGCTGGCTATGGAAAACAGTCGAGGTTTTCAGTGCGGGAGATCACAAGTAAGATGGTTTCATATGAAGAAATTGTTGTGAATGTAATTGGGCTTTCAGTAAGAGTCATGTGCAGTCTTCATACAATAACTTTTATTATTGTAAGGAAAAAAGACATATGTGGCCTTTATTGAACAAGTTACATAACTATACATTCATGTATAGAAGTAGAATTAACATTTTGAATCCAATATGACCCTTCTCCAGCAACTGTCAGCTCAGAAGAAGAAGTCATACTGACCTAGAATCATAGTACCGCTGCAATGCAACTAGAGGCTATTTGACCCATCAAGTTAACACTGACTGTGCAAACAGCATCACATCCAGACCCATCCTATTCCCGTAACCTCACAACAGTAACTGTCTGTCTATCCACAGATCCCTGCCAGATCTGCTGTGTTTATTCTGCACTTCATGTTTTGTATCCATGAATTATTGACTGTCATTATATCTTGCTGTTCTATTCTGAGAAAATGAACATCAACTGATAAGTCTAAGCAATGGAAATGCACAGACCAGAATGTTTCAGCTGATGTTCTTGGTTTTTGTTCAACTAACACAGAAATTATGAGAGCAAGATCTACCATTGGCCTTCTGCATCTTGGGGCGATGATTAGCCAATGTACACAGTCATATTTGTTTCTAAATGCATTCAAAATTGACTCCGTGATAGGAGACAAAGCACTGTGATAGAAGGATGTTTGTATGACTGGAGTCCAATGTGTAGTAGCAAGGCACAAAGATCACTTCTGGGTCCATTATTGTTTGTGATATTTGTAATTGCTGTAGATAAGAACGTGAGAGGTATGATAAGTAAGTTTTCGGATGTCACAATGATTGGCTGGGTGATTGAAAGTGAGGAGGAAGGTGTTACAGGAAAATATCAGGTGGGCAGATGAGTGGGGGGATGGAACCAGATAAATGTAAGATCATGCTCTTTGGAAAAAGTAACGAGACAAGGGAGGGTTCAATGAATGGCAGAGCACTAGGAAGCTCACAGGAACAGGGGTATCTGGGGATGCATATCCACAGATTTCTGAAGATGGCAGGTCGGGGTAATAAGGTAGGTAAGGCCTTTATCAGTCATGGCATAGGTTATAAGAGCAGAGAGGTCACATTAGATTGATAAAGAATTTTGGTTGGACCACAGCTGGAGTACTATGTGCAGTTCTAGTCACCACATACAAGAAGGATGTGATTGCATTGGAGGGGATCGAAGGTGCTTCACCAGGATATTGCATGGGTTTGAGCATCTCAGCTATGTAGAGAGACTGCATAAAGTCGGGTTGTTTTCTCTGAGTAGAGAATGTTGAAGGGAGATCTGATAGAAGTGTCTTGATTATTGAAGGATATGGACAGGGTGGCTAATAAGTAACTGTTCCCCTTAATACAAGGGTCAATAACACAGGTGAATAATTTTAAAATGAGCAGCAAGAGGTTTAGAGAGGATTTGAGGGAAACACTTTCACCCAAAGGGTTATTGGAGCCTAGAACGCATTATCTGGGAAGGTAGTTGAGGCAGACAACCTCACAATCTTCAAAAAATTATTTGGATAAACACTTGAAGTGTCATAATATTCAAGGTTATGGGTCTGGTGTGGGAAATTTGAACTCCTGGGTGATAGTTTATTTTTGACAGAGCAGACTCAATGGACTCAAAGCCCTCTTCTGTGCTGTATCATTCTATAATTCACCTGAATTGTAGCTCCAGTGTACAGGAGGTTGAGAGTAGTGAGGTCATGAATAAGGTTTCAAGGTCGCAGGAGTGTACCAGCAGGCAGGAAGGTGGTTTGAAGTGTGTCTACTTCAATGCCAGGAGCATCCGGAATAAGGTGGGTGAACTTGCAGCATGGGTTGGTACCTGGGACTTCGATGTTGTGGCCATTTCGGACACATGGATAGAGCAGGGACAGGAATGGTTGTTGCAGGTTCCAGGGTTTAGATGTTTCAGTAAGATCAGGGAAAGTGGTAAAAGAGGGGGAGGTGTGGCATTGTTAGTCAAGGACAGTATTACGGTGGCAGAAAGGACGTTTGATGAGGACTGGTCTTCTGAGGTAGTATGGGCTGAGGTTAGAAACAGGAAAGGAGAGGCCACCCTGTTGGGAGTTTTCTATAGGCCTCCGAAAAGTTCCAGAGATATAGAGGAAAGGATTGCAAAGATGATTCTGGATAGGAGCGAAAGTAACAGGGTAGTTGTTATGGGGGACTTTAACTTTCCAGATATTGACTGGAAACGCTATAGTTCGAGTACTTTAGATGGGTCAGTTTTTGTCCAATGTGTGCAGGAGGGTTTCCTGACACAGTATGTAGATAGGCCAACAAGAGGCGAGGCCACCTTGGATTTGGTACTGGGTAATGAACCAGGCCAGGTGTTAGATTTGGAGGTAGGTGAGCACTTTGGTGATAGTGACCACAATTTGGTTACGTTTACTTTAGCGATGGAAAGGGATAGGTATATACCACAGGGCAAGAGTTATAGCTGGGGGAAAGGCAATTATGAGGCGATTAAGCAAGATTTAGGATGCATACGATGGAGAAGGAAACTGCAGGGGCTGGGCACAATTGAAATGTGGAGCTTGTTCAAGGAATAGCTACTGCGTGTCCTTGATAAGTATGTACCTGTCAGGCAGGGAGGAAGTGTTCGAGCGAAGGAACCGTGGTTTACTAAAGAAGTTGAATCTCTTGTCAAGAGGAAGAAGGAGGCTTATGTAGAGATGAGGCGTGAAGGCTCAGTTAGGGCGCTTGAGAGTTACAAGTTAGCCAGGAAGGACCTAAAGAGAGAGCTAGGAAGAGCCAGGAGGGGACATGAGAAGTCTTTAGCAGGTAGGATCAAGGAAAACCCTAAAGCTTTCTATAGGTATGTCAGGAATAAAAGAATGACTAGAGTAAGATTAGGGCCAGTCAAGGACAGTAGTGGGAAGTTGTGCGTGGAGTCTGAAGAGATAGGAGAGGCGCTAAATGAATATTTTTCGTCAGTATTCACACAGGAAAAAGACAATATTGTCGAGGAGAATACTGAGGTACAGGCTATTAGACTAGACGGGATTGAGGTTCATAAGGAGGAGGTGTTAGCAATTCTGGAAGGTGTGAAAATAGATAAGTCCCCTGGGCCGGATGGGATTTATCCTAGGATTCTCTGGGAAGCTAGAGAGGAGATTGCAGAGCCTTTGGCTTTGATCTTTATGTCGTCATTGTCTTCAGGAATAGTGCCAGAAGACTGGAGACTAGCAAATGTTGTCCCCTTGTTCAAGAAGGGGAGTAGAGACAACCCTGGTAATTATAGACCAGTGAGCCTTACTTCGGTTGTGGGTAAAGTGTTGGAAAGGATTATAAGAGATAGGATTTATAATCATCTAGAAAGGAATAATTTGATTAGGGATAGTCAACATGGTTTTGTGAAGGGTAGGTCGTGCCCCACAAACCTTATTGAGTTCTTTGAGAAGGTGACCAAACAGGTGGATGAGGGTAAAGCGGTTGATGTGGTGTATATGGATTTCAGTAAAGTGTTTGATAAGGTTCCCCGAGATAGGCTATTGCAGAAAATACGGAGGCATGGGATTGAGGGTGATTTAGCGGTTTGGATCAGAAATTGGCTAGCTGTAAGAAGACAGAGGGTGGTGGTTGATGGGAAATGTTCATCCTGGAGTTCAGTTACTAGTGGTGTACCTCAAGGATCTGTTTTGGGGCCACTGCTGTTTGTCATTTTTATAAATGACCTGGATGAGGGC